CGTTTCTTTCTTCTCTCTCTCTCTCTCTCTCTCTCTCTCTCTCTCTCTCTCTCTCAGAATTATTTTATTTATTTTCTGTATTTTTTAGAATGATCTAGTACACGAATTGAAAACTAAAAATGATGAGAGTGTTTGGGTACCGCAATATAACATTCTGTTAGATCTACAAAAGGAATTAGTCGAAATTCTCAACAAAGAGAAGTCGATGTGTGAAAAAAAATCACCCGTGAAAAATAAGAAGACCGAACCGATGCACGTGCCGGAACAAAATGGGGATGCTTTAACAGACGTAACAGCATTAGAATTGGCTATTTCAAAACAGGTATTAAACATTACAATTCGATATTTTTTTTATAATATAACACTCAATACATTGTGTTATGTTGCAATTTTAGGGCAATCTTGTACGAGAATTAAAAGCGAAAGAAGATGCAAGTGTGTGGAAACCGCAAGTGGACATATTGTTGAAATTGAAACATCGTTTGGCGGATCTCACCGGAACTACGCCAGTCTCTGTTGATAAGAAATCTAAAAAGAAAAAGTAACTACACTTCCTTCGTAATAGAACGATAAGATTTTTCTTATCTATTACGTTATTTATATAAGTTATGTTTTCGACACGTGTAAAGCGTGGTAACATAATAGTATTTGATTAATGATATAAGATACACATGCACTTTATCTAATAAGTATATTTTAATTAACATACGCGCGCGTTATGTATTAGCAAGAAAAGAAAAGGGACCGTGAAAAAGACATTTGTACTTTATTTAAATGCGTTCATTCATACTAAGTATATTTATACAATGATGGATGATAAATAATTTACATAAAAATTGAAACTGATATCTTTTACTGATATCGTTTTGACATTAGCACTTTTTCAAAAAGACTACTTGCTTCTGGGAGCATCAGAACAACATTATTTTTAGGCGGTGCTTTATTATTTAACAATATCTTATTTTTTTATTGTTTTTAATGCCTGGTTTAATGTTTGATTTAATACCTTGCTTAATGCCTTGTTTAATATCTTCTTTCATATCTTGTTTAATATTTTGCTTAATATTTGGTTTAACGCCCGGTTTAGCAACTAACTCTTGCTTCGAATTCATTGTATAGAAGACAAAGTACTCTATACCAAATACAATGAGCGAAATTATCATGCCAAAAAGCAGAAGAATCAGAATTGGTGCCGCTTCGTAAATAGTCACACTGGAAACAAAGATCTCATCGCTTGGGCAATAAGGCCTCCTAGCCGATCGCCGACGTATTTCGCGTCGTCGAAGTCCTGAAGTAGCTATCCTCAGTAACCTATGTTCAGGATTAGGATTAATGCGTTACTTGTAACGCTATTACCGTTACAGTTACTTTTTTTCAATAACAAATTGTAACATTTCTTTATATTTCTTTATATAGTAACGGTAATGTACTTTAACATTTTTTGAATAATAGCGAATATAATCATTACATTCATCGTTATTATTATTTTGCATACAATTATTACACATACAATTATTACATGTGCACATAAGCGAATCCTGAAAAAAAATCTTCAAAATTTGATGAAAAGAATAATAGAAATTGTAAAGAGAAAGAGTCACTACTTTTTAAGTAACGATAATAGTAATGAATTTCGATAGATAATAAATATGATAACAAATCTTTTTAAAAACTTTTTCAAATCTGTCTATATTGAATAATCTTGATCTGATCTTGAAGTTTTATACATTGTACTCACGCTATTTTGGAGATTTCGTGAAAGTGACTCTTAAGGTTGGACCACAAACCCAATTCAGAGGGCTGCAATAAGTGAACTTCCGTTAATTGACAAATCATCTGTTTATCGAAAGCGAGTTCGATGAATGGATAAATATCATCCGGATCCGCGTGATAAGCGAAACCTCCCTTCATTATTTCCTTCACGCCATCCTCGATCGAAATAAATCTTTTTGATTCTGGTATAGAATTCCAATAATGTTTGAAATATTGTACGTCCGGCCTTTGATTCTAAAAAATATACTTAGCATGTCAGAATGATTAAGTTTAAAAAAAGTAATATCGGAGGTATTATTTTGGGATTTTACCCGTAACAGGAAGTTGAAGAAGACATTCTTCTCAGCCGCCATCTTCATCTTGCTATGCGCCAACGAATACAGTGAGTCATTCATCTTTTGGAGAGGCTCATTCAATCTGGCCGATACTATCGCCGCTGAATAATAATTATATACCAGTAGACCAAAGATCGTTATCTGAATGAGGGCAATTCGACTGGCCGATTGGTCAGTGAGAAAAGGGAAACCTAATTGACATTATGATAACAGGAAAACAATATATCATTGTCATATCGTCATCATCGTAAGTACCTTGCTGGCATAATGCCGCAACAGTGATCAATGCCGAAATGCTGCAGCCATAATCGTTAGCACGTTCTAACTTCAATATACAAGATAGAATGAGAATTGTAACCACCACGATCACGATGATCATATACCATGTGTCCGCTGCAAACGGCTTCAATATTATCCAGGGTTTCATTTTCATAGCCGGTATGGTACGAAACATGAAACAAGTACTGAATGAAAAATTATTCACATGTTTAACATAAGAACAGATTTTATTACAGATTAATTATTAACAGATTTATTATGTTTACTATATTTTATTTATATGTATGTAAATCTCTTTCATTGGGCTTACCGTGTAGGCCATTGCTGAAGAATAACACGCGCATATCCGTACCTTTCAATAGTTAAGATAGAAGGATAATAGCCCAAATCGGCATCGTCTCTTTTCAAAGTACTCATCAGAGGACCGTTGCTGTCATTCTTTTCCCAGTGATTGATCTCGATAAGATCCAACCTGCATGAAAATATTCATTGAGCAATTAATACATACTCGCAGAAATTTATGTTTATTGTGATCAATTACGTAAAGTTAAACATGTTGGAGACATGCGAGAGAAGAGTGTGTCCGAATTTCGGCCAGTTATCCATGACTTCCAAGCTGTCGCCTTCCAGATAATCTATCAAGCTCACGTGTTCCGGTCTATGTAGTACCTGTGAATACACAACTCGTAATAAATAAACTATGTTTTTTCCACTCTAAGATAGGGCTTACGATTCCGGCTGCTTTGGCTCGCAAACCATGATAATTTCGTCGTCTGGCAATCTTCGAGTCAGTCAGATTGATCGTGAGTCCTTTATCCTTTTGCCAACTACCAAGCCACGTAACGTTGAGTACTCCGCCACGCATTTTGCAATGATTGTATATATCATATAAGATGTAATCAGTTCCGTTCAGATCAGTTTCACTCGGCAATAAAATTGCGAAATCCGTGACGATGCTGAAACCACTCTCGTTCAAGTTCTGCAAACTGTGGTTCAAGTTGCTTCCGATGATCAACCAGTTATACGAGTAATCAAACATGCGATGGGCTGAAGCCTACATACAAATTTTATCAAATTTCTAAAGCGAAAAGTTCTGTTTTTAAAAAAAATTAGAGTATGGAAAAGTATTAGAGTATTCTTACTTCGTCAAAAATGCCGCTAACATTCTGATGCGGACATTGTACGTCCACAAATACTCCTAGAGTCCGATCAGTGTCAAGATACCTCGGTATATTGATTTGTGATCCAGTCGGTTTAATCCCGGTGGCTATCCCAGCGACGTTCAGCAACCTCATCGTAAGGAAATCCTCTGGGCAAAGAAAGTTAAACTCTGAATCTTTAAACGATTTATTTTGATGATTGCGAATTATTAAGAACTCTACACGTGAAACTTGACATTCAACTTACCTTCCACATCCCCGCAAGAAAATCCCACTACTCTGGATACCTTTTTGTAAACAAAATAATCTCGAATAATTTGGCTGGTCTGCGTATATGTGACGATGACGAATGTTTGTAAAAGAAAAATGCCTCCAAACAAGTGCATCCTTTCTCGGCATACATGAACTACAAGGCTGTGACGATGTTAAAACTATTCCATTTCGTCTTCATTCTGTATGGAATACCAGCATAATTTCCGACAGCAGCAGGAGTTGTAGAAAACGATTTACAGAGTTCGGAGTCATCCATAATATCCATAACGTTGATTGACATGACAGCATAATCACGGCGACTACTGCGATACAAACCATATACAGGGTGCCTCGTTGCTTCCGTCGTCCGTCTCACAGTTAGATTTTCCTACTAACTTGGGATAGAAACTTTTTCGGCGAGGGAATAATTTAATTGAGAGTTTTTGGATTCACGCAGCAAACGAATGCCACGTCTAGACTATTTATGCAGCAATCAATGTATTAAAAAGTTACAAAGAAATCCCGAGACACAGTATACAGTGCGACTTCCTCTTCAGTTTCAGAATTCTTACTTTATGTCCCTGTTTTCTATTACCCTGAATTCGAGTCAAATCCGTTACGATCGATTTACCTGTCTTATCTATCTATTATCCGGTTGTTTTCTACGAAAGTATTCATAGGAAAGTTTCTCGGTGGACTATTCTGTGATGCAAAGTGAATTCACAGCTTTATTGAAGCATTAGTCGCTTTATTAGAGCGACTGGGAAAAATTATAACGTGTGCTATCTCCACCGCATGAAATAAATATACGATAACGAGACACTAACGAATGTACCAATTATAACGCACGAACGAACTCATGAATATTTTACTTTCCAAGGCGAGACAGTTTCATTCGGGTAAATTGTGTTTGCTCGTGCCGGCCATCCTCTCCTCCGCATCGCCGCTACTCAATCGTCTCAGCATTTCTTCTCTGCGAACAAAATTGTCGATAACTCCTCGCAGAGAGCTAAACATGTACTTTAGCTTACTTCATGAATCGATAGACGATATTCTCGATGATGCATATGAAGCATCCAATAAGCACACCGAAAGATAATAAAATCAAAGCCGGAGCGGTCTCGTATATGGATATACTTCTCGTGGACAACGTATCGAGCTGGCATTGAGGCTTCCTGCTCGACCAATACTTTATCTGCCGGTCGCGTAACCCGGTGTTGAACATCTTGGACAGCCTGGAAAAGAATTCCTTGACTATTTCCTACGAGAGCTTCTTTTGGTCGCAAGAAGAAAGAGCAAACAAGAGCTTACCCGATTTTCGCTATCTCGGTGAATTGACCGTTGTGACTGGCGTACATACCCATGACGGATTGTTTGAATAGATGGATTTCCGTCAGAGCGCAGATCTTGCTCGGATCAAATTTCTCTACGTAGGGATATGCCGTGTTCGGATCCGTGTGATAAGCCAGGATTCCTTCACTGACCTGCTTCATACCCTCTTCTATCGGCAAATATCGCTTCGATTCCGGCAGAGGATCCCAGCGCTTTTTCCTGAAGTAATTTGATTCCGAACTGAGTTTCTGAAAGCACGAAGTTAGACGCTGCATTAGACTGAACGTACATTCTCGCTGTCTGGAAATACGCGTACATATAGAAAGTAATTCAAATACGGCACAGCTTCCGCGGCAATTTTCAGATTGCTATCCGCGAGGACGATCACGTCATCTTCCATCATGTCGAGCGGCTCGCTCAAACGAGCCGATACTATACTGCCCGAGTAATAGTTATACATGATCCAGTTGAAGAGAATGATCTGCAGGAGAGCGATACGACCAGGGATACGTTCAGGGAAAAAATTTGCGCCTATGAAAGAGATTATTATTAAGTTAAATAATACGTTTGCAATCTGTGTGTTATTTTATACCTTGTTGAGCTATAATGCCAATAGTAAGGACTATAGCACCAGAGTATTTCTCTGGCCTGCTCGTCTCTTCGCGTTTCATTATTACTCTCATTACGAACATGAAAAACACCGCAAACACGGCATACAGGTACCAAATATGAAGTGCAAATGGCTTGAAAAAGATCTCGAGCTTGATTTTATTCGATGAGGTGGACAGCAACATAAAGCAAGGTCTGCAAGAAAGAGATTAATTTATTAATAATAAATTAATTTTTTTTTTAACATTGTATCGAAATCTCGATACCGAATCGGCCATGCCGCACCAATAAGACTAGCATAATCTAATCTCTCGGACACCATAATTCTGGGATTACTGCCAAAATCGATGTAATTTGCTCGTAATATCTCGAATATCAAACCATGCACGCTGTGACGGTCCCAATAAATTATCTCTGAAGCGTGTACACTTGGAAAAGATATTTTTATAATTAGCGAAAATTGAAAATAAAAGACAAAACTCTATTTTAATCAACGAAAAAAAAAAAATACCTGAAATTGAAGAGATCGGCAGTATGAGATATCATCGCGTACAAGAACTTATGCATGCTATCTAGAGATCTGGTGTTAATGTCATGCATATAATCTTCCAACCGCATATTCTTCGGTCTATATTGTATCTATGATAAGCCAACGATAAAACAAATATAAACAAAAATAGTAAGAAATACAATACAATAAAACATTTCTCTTTTTTTATAAAACCATATATTTAATGACACGAACCACGCCCGATATCTTCAACGTCATGCCGTGCATATTAGCTCGTCTCTCGATCAATGGTTGGGTCAGGGTGATAATGAGACCTTCCTCTCGTCGCCATGAGCCCAGTCTTGTCACATTCAATGTACCTCCTCGATATTTGCAATGATTGAAAACGTCGTAAAGATCATAACCGGTACCATTTGTTATTGCGAGCACGAAATCGGTCGTTATACTGTAAGCGCTGTCGTTCAGAAGCGACACGCTGCTATTCAACTTCGATCCCAAGACCAACCAGTGATACGAGTAATCGTACATACGATACTTTGAAGTCTGACAAATGGTAAAATATCAGTATTCTTCTCTCCTTTTTCTTTTTCCATATAAAAAAATTGGAAGTAAAGTCAAATGAATGAAAACGGTTTATCGACTCCATAAATTCCTTTACCTCGGCAAAGATGGCCACGGCGCTCTCATTATGACAACGCAAATCCACGACGACTCCCAGACTCCAGGCCTCGGTGTTCAAAAACCGTCATAAATTGATACTTGTATCGTGCTTTCGAATGATCGTGAATATACCCGCTCTGCTTAATGATTTCATGAAATAGAAATCATCTACAATAAAAACAAAATAGAAAGAGAGAGAGGCAAAGAAATCTTTATTAGAAAATATTTATGAATTTTATAGTATTACTATATGACTCGCTGATATATGAAAATTCCACGTACTTGTGAAATTTCCGCAAGAGAATCCCACAACATTTCGCACTGTCTTATTCACGAAATAATCGTGAATAAAATCGCTATCTCCCGCATTAACATAATTACAACTAAGTGATAAAACAATAAGGAATGTCACATACGTTCCACCGTGCTTCAATTTCAGATTATGCATATCGCCATGGAAAAAGTAGTCCGTGCGAGACTATGTAACGTCGGATCTGTTCGCACGAATACGAATAAATGAGAGATAATGGAAATGGGAATGTAGATTGATTAATTTTGTATGAATCCACGATACATTCTTGCATTTTTCAGCCTCGATATAATATTAAACATATCTGGAAATCATATGTCTTATCGCTTATTTACATTTCACCGCTATGACATTCTGTCAGAAAATGGGAACTAAGGAACATGTCACTGTCAGGCTACAGTAAATGATTAATTATTTGCGCGTACGTAATGAATAAACACACAAGTTATCCATGACGAAATCTAATTAAGCAAGCATCAAGATGGGATGATGTAAAAATGGCGGATTATTTGTTCATTCACGCGAAAATATTTCGTCCGGCGAATTAGGTATGTCCTTTGTAAATATCGGAAAACGCAGATTCCTCCCTAGTTTGCGCGTTGTGGATATTGATATTCTATAAAAAAAGAGAGATAAAAAAAGATTAAATAATTGAGTAAAAAATTTGAAATTTCCTATTTCTTTTTTTAAATCTTCATTTTACACCAATCGTTTTACCGTGGCCATATCCAATAGATAACGTTCTCCATCACGCAGATCACGAGAGACAACGCGATGGCAATTCCAATGAAGATGAAAATGGGCGTAGCTTCATGGATCGACAGTGGTTCCGCGACTAGCATATTTTTCGGACAGAAGGGTTTCCTTGCGGACCAGAATTTTAGTTGTCGTTTACGTATACCCATGTCATACATCTTGGTTAAGCTACGAAACATTAGAGAATATTTAAAGATTACAAATTTAAATGAAACATGCGTCTATTTAATTGCTTGATCATAGTGTAATTACAGTAATAATAACGAACGCTTAAATACTTTGGAAATCTCATTGCATAATGATAAACGTCATTTATATTTTCCTACCCAATTCTAAGCAGTGGAGTGAACGGGCTCCTGTGCCTACCCCAAAGGGCGAGAACCGCGCGAAAGAGGTGAATCTCTGTCAGCTCGCATATCATCCGCGAATGGAAGTGCCGATCGATATACGGATATGCGGATTCAATCGACGTGTGATAGGCCAAACCACCCTTAGCTACACGATTCAGACCCTCCGTCAAGGGCAGATAACGCTTGGATTCCGGTACTCTGTCCCATCGTTTCGCAATAAAATACCGAACTTCTATCTCCGGCGACTTTCAATAATGCAAAAGTATGAGACAATATAAAAAAAACATACGTTTTGAATAAAATGATACATGATTTTTGCAATCATTGCGACTTCTATCTCATAAAATCAATTTCGTCATAACATAAAAGCGTCTGTACCTGCAGAAAGGAACGAATATATGGCGTGAATTCAGCCGCTACTTTTAGATTACTATCCGCCAAACTAATCAACGAGTCGTTCATCTTCACACCCACATTCTTTAATCGATCGGACACAATGCTCGCCGAATAATAGTTCAAGATTAATACGCTGAAGAGCATGATGTGTATAAACGCTATGCGACCCGCGTAACGCACAGGAACATACACAGAACCTGTGAAGGCGTTAGTTTGTCAATGAGTTCTTCATTTTTTATATCTTATTTGACTCGAGAAAAAATTAACAAAGATGTTGAAGAAATTTCAACAAATACCTTGTTGAGAAACAGCACCTATAGTAAAAAGAATAGCAATGTTGTAGCTTTCCGCCAAGCTATAAACTTCTTCTTGTCTAATCAATATCGCTAGAATGGACATGGCAACTATCATCGTGCAGATTATCATGTACCATATTTTAATATGTAACGGTCGTAAAAATTGCTTCGTTTTCATAGTCGCCGAAGATATCGTCCGGAACAAAAAGCACGAACTGCAAAAAAAACCGCATCAGTAAATCGAAACTATTCATTATCGTGCATTACATAATTACGCACCGCATTGGCCATACTGGACCGATGATATCACCGGACCGTAATCTATCCGCTTTCATCACAATTGGACTGGCTGAGATATCTACCATCTTTTTCTGAAAAGCGACGAACATCGGCGCGGAATTGTCTTGTCGCTTTCTCGGATCCACTTCCACAATTTCGATACTTGAAAAAAAGGAAACATTAAAGAAGTGTGCAAAAAAATTTCACTTGCTCCGAAAGGTTCTTACGTGAAGTTAAAGAGATCAGCCATGTGCAACAAGATCATGTATAGGAATTGAGATCGGCCATACTTCGCCTTCATATCCTGATCCAGCACGATATCCTCCGTGGACAAATTGTAAAACTTTTGTGGCAGCTATAAGATTCCCCGGATAAATTACATGGCCAATTATCGTACTCATTGAACCGATCGGTTACTTACCAAGACTCCCACTTTGAGCTTCATTCCATGCAAATTGGATCTTCTTTCATACTTGGATTGTTTTAGTCTGATTGCCATTCCAGATTTCTCGGTCCAGTAACCCAGAGCGGTTACGTTCAAGGAACCACCGCGGGCCTTACAAGGATTATACACGTCGTAAAAATCATAACCCGTAGGGGACTGTATAGCGACTGTAACGTCGGTCACTAAACCAAAGGCATCGTCATTCAATAATCTCACGGTGCCCTTCAACTTCTGTCCCAAAATCAGCCATTTATGTGTCTCGTCATACAGGAAATATTTCGTGGCCTTAAATAAAAAGAAATTAACACCAAGAACTTTGCCATTGCTGCCTCAACATCTACGGTTTTGTTATCTTTCTTGACCCTTGTCTATTCCTCCCACCTCTTTTCCTGTCGTTGCATTTTCATACATATTATTCTTTTATTTTTATATGACATTGCACATTCCAGATATTTTACATAATTAATATAAAACATTATAATTAAGAAGCATTTAAAAGAACATCACCTCGGAATATATCACGGTGTAATTGTGTGCGTCGCATCGCGCGTCCACGTAAACGCCTAAATTGCGATAGTTGTTCTGTAGAAGTTTTCGAAGAAGAGTACGTGTCGATGATCCGACCGCGGATCCGAGATTCCATACTGATGTGAGTACAAAGACATCATTGAACGTCCTCGCAAACTTTACATCATCTGTTTTATTACAAGAAAAATTTGTTATTATATTTAAATTGTTAAAACATTATTACGCACTTTCAAGACTGCCACAGGAAAACCCTACTACATTAGACACGCCTTTATATGTAAAATAGTCTCGGATCATGACGTTGTCGTTCGTGCAAGAAACGAGTAACAGACGTGATAGAAGTAGTAACTTCCAACTTCTATGAGACATTTCTTTAATTATCGCACGGATCGCATAGAGATAATACTAGGAGTTTGAAAGAGAACATAGTCGTTTCTAAAGCTATGTCCATCGCATCATCAAATATTCAAAACGCAAGTTTCTCTTATGAATGTTTCACTTTAAGTATTTTCACGATTTAAAATATTAATTCCTTCAAGCAATTTATGTATTTATACTGTCTATTTTAGACAAGGACTGCTAGTTATTACTTTGAGTGTATTTATTTCTCCGTATTTCTCTATTTCTCCGTATTTCTCTATTCGGCAATATTGTTTCAAAATCTTCATATTTTCAAGAAATCAAGAATAAGGAAAAAATTTGGGAATTTTATTTTTCATTGAAGAGATCAGGAAATCTGGAAGAGAAATACAACGATTATTGTAAAAGGAATATTGATTCAAAATCGTAATCTTAATTAATGTAATTTGTACTCTTTTTAAATGAATATGTGGCATTGAGGTATATTAAAGATACATTCTGACTCGATGTATGTATATTCGGTACATTCGCGCTCAGAATCTCGAAGAGTTTTATAAATAAAGTAACTTATCAATGACTAGTACAGATTATTGCGTGATCGCCGCTCAAGGCGTAATCGTGATTTCGCAAATTCTTAAATCGAAATCCAACAAGATCGATATTCAGAAAGTTCACTGTAATGCGAAGGGAGGTGCGTCGTTGGTCGACAGATAAAATTTGCCACGCAATCTGAAGAAAAAGAAAAGAGAAATGAATAATTGAATTGTATTCGGTCTTGTCAAGTATTAAAAATATAATATAAACAAGAGTATATCTTACGAGGTAGAGGCGTATTCGCCCATCAAAACGACTGGATTGTAATCGCAAAGTCGCTCCTTGTATTTTTCCCAGCTCTCGCACATTCTTGCTTTGAAGCCCACCGTGCTGCCGATACTTTCAGTCATAAGTTGATGCGCCCTCGAATGACTGCAATAAGCTGTAATATAAAGAGACATTAAGATAATGCTCGAAAATCATCATTTAATGTATCCTTTATAGTAAGGACGCCATAATGAATGTTGCATTTGCAAACGTGTGTCTTGTAGTGCTTACTTATCGTTGGTACGAAAGAGCATCCAGGTTGTGGGATCTTGCCATTGTTAGGATAAAAATCAGCATGTCCTAATGGCGCTAAGAATCCAAACACCGGACCGCTAGTATGAATCACATCAACAAATTGAGCATCGGTTGGATCCAATCGATACTCCGGATCAACGATGCCAGAGATGGTCTCGAACAGAGGACTCGCAGGATCCAATCCTTTTCGCGGGAAAATTACGAGATTATACTCGAGATGTATCCATTATTTTCGCTCCCGGCATCAATAATGAGTATCACAATTACATCATTCATTTTTCGAAGCGTTTTGTCAATACTTGCGTTCAAATATTGTAATTTTCGTCCATTCGTTTAGTATTTGTAATGTCCATATGGTTAATATCTTTTTTTTTATTGTAACAAAAATAATTTTTTGGAAAGAATATATATAATTAATTTTGCTGAAAAGTTGTGCAGTTACGATACTTTTTATTGTCCTCGGATTCAAACGCGTAGTGATTCTCGTATGAGGACGGTGCGTCTATCTACCTGTTATTCTCCCAATACGTCCTTCATGATAAGCTCCGGCGAAGCCCGCCACATAAGAACCCAGGCTGTGACCACTGATGTGCACATCCTTATATTCCAGATTCGAATCTCGATTCAAGAACTCCAGGAATTGACCTAAATACTCACCGACGAGACGCGTATTCTTAGCTGCTACCGGATAGGCGTCGGACGCCAAAATCCCCCAACCGACGACTATCACGTTCACATCCTGATAAAGCAGATACGCTAAAAATGCAATTAAATGTTATATCTCTATCTAAAAAAAATTTCTCTTTTTTTTTTTATTTGAAAGCAGCGCCTCTAGAGAATGAGAAAAGACGAAAAATCGTCGGATAGCGCGGGTGATATAAAAAAGAGCTTGGAACTCTTCCGCGAAGTTTCTGGCGAGAGACCAAGTAAAAACTTGCAGAACGATTAATTAAGCCGTTATCGCGCTGACCTTTGAACCGACGACGTCGATTCCGTGTTTACCAAAATAAGCTGACCCTGATTGTTTGCGAAAGTAGTAGCGGCGGTAGTAGTAGTAAGGAATGCAAATACAAATGACGCAATACCTAATTCCACCCACCATCTATTAGATCACGTATCCAGCCCTCGTTCCCGGTATCGCTGAATCCGTGAACGATGAACTTGGTCGGTCTGCTTTCGTTGAAGTGCGATGCGTACAACACTTCGGTATTATTTAGGAACAATTGCTCTTCGCCAAACGGGTTCTCTCTACGGGAAACATTAACGTGATAAGGACGTTCGCATTTTAGTAAAATAGATGCATGCGTTTTCGAACATGATAAAACGTTAAAATCGTTTCCATCGTTTTCCATCGCGGATGCGAGCTTCCAGATTGGTCATTGGTTCTGCTAATTATCTCCGCGATAAAGGGAAAGATTAGAACAATGTTAAGTGCGCCTTTCTCTCGCGCTTCCTCGATCAGTTTGTTTGCTGGAAAGAGAAGGGGGAAAAAAAAGAAAGAAAAAGAAGGGAGGGCGGGAGTCAATCCAAAGACGCGATATTAAGGCGTCAGTGCGACGCGACACGACACGATGCGGCGCCTCGACATCCGATAGTCGATCGAACGTCAGCGCTGAGAATAGAATGCTCGCTGATTGCACGTATCATTAAAAAATTGATGCATCCTCCACGGGGCAAGTCAACGATAACGGTACCATGATGCATGGAAATTAGCCGCGTCGGCGTGTGATTGATTCCCGATCGGGCGCCAAGATATTCTCCCGGCACTCAATTGCACATTGTAATTTAAAATAATTATTTAGAAAATATGACCAAAGGTGGCATGTTCGCATCGGCGAAGAAAGAAATGCGTAATCCATAATATGATGCAATAGAGTCTCAAATCAATCAGCCTTCTCTTTACGATCCTCGGATACAAAAACGATCCTTCTTCATCTCCTCTTCCGACTTTGGTCCTTTCGCTTTTATATGCAATCGCTATCTCACATAATGTATCGAGAGAAATGTAAAAAATGTTAAGAGCAATATTACGTTCGTATCTTATCGCAAAATTAACAATAAAAGGGATTATACGCACCTGGTGTACAGCTTGAAAGTCGCCGGTTCGCGTTCCACCACCGTCTCGATGATCGACGCCCGCGTGTTGTCGTTTAGCAACGTACCTTCCGGATATGCACAGGCTGGAATTAACGACTATAGAATTAATCAGGATCAATCAGTTTATCGTTCGAGCGAAATTCGTGTAAAGAAATGAAAAAATGAGTGAGAGAGATTTGAGTATCAATCAAGTGAAATCTCAAATCGGTGATTACCTGACCAGGCGAGGAGGATGGTCGAAAGAACCAGAAGTTCGACGTGTGTCATGTTTCTGGATGGGATGCTGCGCGACATACACCAGTCGTCTCGAGATGCACCGGATTACTACTTAACTTGGTCGGCTTAACGTCAGGCCCGTCATTCATCCCGCGCTCTTTCTTTTTGCTCCTCCACCAGCTCGCGAGAACACGATAAGAGGCGCCTAATGCCGCCGCCTTAATTCGTTGGCATTGCGTTCGCTATTCCGGCATTTTAAAAATCTGCCTACATCTCGAGACTGTTTTCAATCCATTTCCGTATGTGTTTCTGAAAGAGTTAATTAATTATGGGAAATTAAGTAAAATTGCAACAAAATTAAAATGCAAGTAGTGAATATGCAAGGCTGAAATGCCTTTCGACGTCTATATATTTTTAAATAATTTTTTAATATTAGAAGCCAGCAAGATACTCTTGAAAAAAATGCTAATTATTTATCACAGTTCTAGCAATAGTTCTTGTTAGTTCTCGAGAAGTTATGTATTTTATAATCATTTTTAAGCAGAGTTCTAGTGGCTATATAATCAGCATAGCTTTTTCTAATTGTCATGTTCTAAGATTATACAATATAATACTAATAATATTAATATAATAATATAATGTATTGATAATATATTTTTGGTATCATTTAAATTAAAAATTAAAATATGATTTTTTGAAAAATCATTACACAGCACCAAACACGATGAATTTGATCAGTGCAAGCACAATCAGAAGTGAAGAATAGCATATCACAAGCCTATTGACTGGTATGATGAGTATAGACTGATATATTATTCTGAGATTTAATTTGATATGTTAATCCTTTATTAATTTTTTGCAGCTCTAATAACCTAAATTCATTAAAATTAAAAAATAACTCTTTATCTCATCTTTTCCTCTTCAAGAAATATCTTGCAGTGAACTAAAATTAATAAATATCTCGTTATTAAATTTTATCTAATGGAATTTAATGCGAAAGAATTTTTCTAAATTAACCTTTTACAAAATTGAATGGATAGTATAACACTCTCTCCTTCGAGCTATTTTCCTGTAATTTTGTAAATTTGTGTAACGGGATTTTTTAATTATTGGATCTGAACTTAGAATCCAAATAATTATGAATTAGTCTCTCTCACACAGCAAATCTGTACATTAGCCCACTGTTTCCGATACTTATAGAGTATCCTATGATACCAACCAACGATTCAAGTAACTTTGTTCAATCTTGGGACATATCTCAACAGAGGGTACTTCACGCGATTTCTTCAAAATGGCGCACGCACACACACGCGCGTAGGTTCACGTTCGATTTGTTATTTACATTTATATGAATATCATGAACGATTTACAGTAATCTATTGAAAAGCACTACAATTTCAAGTTTGCTCGCGTATGTAAGTTCTGAAAAGAAAATGGTAAATAAAAAGAATTCAACATCGAAATATTTCTGTTCGATTTGTTGATTGTTTTTAATTGCGTTTCTGCTTTTATGAAAAATATTCATCATGTTCGCTAATTTTGATCTCTATTTTTCAGTTGCCTTGTATTGTTTTAAAATTTTCTCGAATAATGCAGTCAGACTCACTGATTAACTGATTAATCTGTTAGAATTCTTTTTTCAATTATAACAAGAGAATAAAGTATATTTGCTTTGTAATATATAATGTTTTTCCTGTTATAAAGCTGACACATCGATCTTACAAGAGTCAAGCAATATATATGTTGTACTGATAATAAATACGTTAAGATATTCTGTTCAACATTCTTATTTGTTTCAGTTCCAGAGTTAATTGAAACTGTCGATGCATCATGTCACCTGAACCTACACAAGAACCTATTCAAGAGAATTTGACAATTTCCAGTGTAGCGCTGGATGCAAGAGCAACTAATGATGAGGAAGATAGTGATGATGAGGACATGGGTATGGCAGGATATGTGCCATTATCTCAAGTATCTACCGACGCAGATCCTATATTAGATGAGGAAGAGGTATTATAGCAAATAAAACATATTTCCATGAATTCCCAAAGAATTAAACGTTTTCTTTTTATTTCAGAATGATGAATGGCTATCTGGATTTAGTGAGTCTAGTCAGGCATCATCTGTCCTAACAACTGAGACCCAACAAGTAAGTTTTTTTAGAGAATTTTTATGAAGATACTAGAAAAAAATTAATGTGTGTGGTATTTCAGAGTTGTTCTTCAGAGATATTGGAAGTCTGGTCGTGTCCAAACAATCGTTCTGACATTGATTTAGATGCAACTAAGATTAAAGAAGTCAAATCCGTGATGGCATCCATTACGATTCCTGAAACTTCAATTCCACAATGGGCAAATACGATCTCGGAAGAGCAGTGGAAAGAGCAGCTTCTCATGCGCATTAAACAGATGCAAAATAAAGATTCGTAGAGCTGGAATTACAATATTAGTCGCTGATTGCAGCAAAGTTACAATTTTTACTATCAACTGTATATGGCGAGTACATCTGGAATTATTAAAGTATAATTTATTACAATATAAAACATGGAGAGAGATATATATATATATATATATATATCCACTGGAGATCATTGAATCTTATATATATGTATATTTTTTAGCATATAAATGTAAAAAAGGAAACAATGATTTTAATTAAATTGTCTTAGGAAAACTTGTCTTGAATAGAAATTTAACATCTTGTTAGGATGTGCATAGGATATGTAATGATGGTATGAGAAGAATGTAAATCAAAAAGTATTATTCCAACGAATTGTAAAGTACATTATTATTATTATTATTTTCGTTTTCTTTTTATATTATATGTTGGAAGCAGATTATAAGATATATATCATAGATTAGCTAATAAACATCGCTATTTTCGATGTAATTGTTCTTAAAGTGAGTAAAATGCACATGATATCTCATCTTAATGTCATCTAATGAAATTTGATGCATTTCTTAATTGTGCGAACATGCCATTACACTCAGATCTTTCCCATTCTATACTTTATTGGTATATTGCTTAATCTATATGATTGAGGCACAATGCGAGTTTATAGTTCGAACTCTGCGTCGATGGCAGCGGCTTTGATTGGATTGAGTTTCTTCCGTAAAGCGGCGACGTCGTCTTCTATTTTTATCAATTTCCGATATTTCTAAAAAGAAATGAATTATTGCGCATTATTATTGCGCATACAATCCCCTTCTAGATAGGATATATTTTATATACCTCTGAGGTAGTTCCGGATGTAACACTCCAAATATAAATCATGTAACCTGGAATACATAACATCGAGGAAAGGCCTGCAAACCATCCCAACAAATGGCTCCACCACGGAAATTCGTATGTGAGGTATTTCACAGGGACGAATTTGATAATATTAAAGATGAAAACGCCCTGTATGTATACACAGGATATAAAAATATACGTAACAAAGTAGTATATTAATTATTCTAAGTTATCTTGCAGTCTGAGCAAATTGGAAAAAAATCTTACCACACAAATGGCAGGTGTAGTAAACGTCCAGCATATCTTCCACCAGAAACAGGGATAATAGCCTATCATGTCTCGTATACCATCATAAAATCGATCTACTCCGAATGCCCATGACACGGAAATACACTCGAAAAACATTAGGAAGAGCAAACAGAATCCACTCACAGCATACGTATCCAAGAGTTGAAAGACGTACATTCCGCCCTGAACATAAAATTAATTCCTTTTAGTGAAATCTAAACGAAAATTAAAGTAGAAATCTTATTTTCTTTATCAAAGAATATTAAATAAACAAGATAATGATATTTTTAAAGTCTCATTAAATACTTTTTAAATATTACAATCTATATTGAAAAGTTTATATGATGTACTCACTTCTGTGACGCATAGAAGCCCTATTAAATAGGAGATCAGGCATACGATCGCGATGAACATTTCCTTCCGTTTTCTGAGTAGTCGTGGCCACTCATCCACGGCAGCAGTGATGAAACCCTCCATGGTACAAAACTGGAATGTAACTTGTTTTTAATATTAATATTAATTCTGATGGTTCTGGAGTAACGCATATCGAGCCTCGGATTCAATGAACGTACGTTACCTGACTGTCCAATCCTATCAGGAGAAGCATAAAGAAGAAAAGACTTGACCAAATCGATGCCCCGGGTAATTGTAACACCGCTGAGGGATAAACTAAGAAAGCTAAACCAGGCCCTGATTGAAACGAAAAATTATTAAATTATCTTTGCGTTATCATAATTAAAAAGAGAAAAAATATGGGTAACTACCAGAAGCAGCTACATCGGCAACTGGTTTCTGTTGTTCATGGGCCATAAAACCGACTACGGAAAATATGACTACTCCGCTAAGCAAACTGGTACAAGTATTCACTCCGCATACGATGAGAGCGTCTCTGCAATATATCGATAAAACTATATACAATCGGTTTTATAAGAAAAATAAAATTTTTCAGAGAAAGACAAGGAGGAAAGGATGATGAATGAAGATAGAGTGATATAATATAGAAGATGCTCACTTGTAAACATTATTGTTGAATTTATTATAGCTGCCTAAGGCTACCAATGCGCCTAGACCGAGAGCGTAGGTGAAGAATATTTGTGTCACCGCATCTATCCATACCTATGCATGCAAGGATCAAGTCAATAATTATAATAGTCAATAATATAAAAGTAAATGGTAATTGCACATTCTGATGTAATTGCATAAGATATTGACGTCATGTCAATAGTTTTACCTCAGGATCGCCGAGTTTCGAGAGATTTGGCGTAGCGTAGTACTTTAAACCTTCCGAAGCGCCGGGAAGCGTTAAGCCTCGCACAAGCAACACCGCCAGTAAAGCGTACGGAAAGAGCGCCGTGAAATAGACAACCTGTATTACATTGTACAACTTAAATTGAACAACGCTGCGTCGAAATGTGAGTAAATGGGACTTTATCGTAAGCGATTTCACGTTTTACCTTGCCGGTCCATTTGACACCTTTCCAGATGCAAAAGTAACACATGATCCACACAACCGCGAGGGTTCCGGCCAGTTCCCATCTTATACTACCTACGGCTTCGATACCCGAGGAGATCTGCAGGGTGCGCCTCCTTTTTGTAACGAAAGATGCGGATGGTACTTTTTGATTTCATCATAATTAATTAACTAAGACATCGATGGGGCCATTACTTACTCCCAAAATTCTTTGACCGGATCCTTCAGTAATCTGTGACTCAAATTCCCGAGGGATGTGGCGCATATGAAGTTATTCGGCCAGTAGTCGTCCTGCCAGCACGTAACGTTCAGTCGTTCGTCGGGCGTAATGCAGTAGCGCGTATTCCATGAATTGTCGCAAGTTCTCCAAGGTACGTCTACGTGAAATTTATATTAGATATACGAAAAGAACGATTTTGCTAAAGAATCTAAACATTCGGCCAAATACAAATGTGAAAATAATTTTTTTGAATCATTAAAATAATTGTATAGGATATCTAACACATTCCACGCTAGACTGTTCGTTCAAATTATTTGATATTTTAATTATAAAAAGAAATAGAATCATGAAATATTTCCTGTATCATTTTTATTATAATTATGAAAATTTATTATAATTATGTTGCAATATTGATATCTTTTTTTATACTTTTTCTTTATAATAATTTTTCTAATTGTTTTTTTATTACGAAACACGATTTACTTAACATATATAATAGACATACCATCGATGATCCATACTGTGGATGACAAATCATAAAATTGATACAGAATGTGTTAAACATAATGATAATACTGCAATAATTTTTCATTTTTAACCATCAATTTGAACGTCCTATATAATTATTCTAATGATGCAATAAAATTATTTTTAGATTTCTATATCTGATCAAATTTTTTAGATTTTTCAAAAATTTCTTATTCTCTTGACAGATAAAAAAAATAAGATTCCTTTTCGAGCAATGACGCGCTTTGATAACATGTAATAAAATCGCTCACCAGGACGTAAGGAGACCAAGAAGTAGAAGAGTGCCCAAGCAAGAATGATTATGTAATATATGTTAGTCCAGCAGGAAAGCACACAGGTCGCGTATCCGATACCTGTGTGAAAATACCGTGACTCTTCCGAAAGTGTTTGAACAAGACTAAAGCTCTGAATGCTTAAAATCACCTTTAAACAATGGTGCTATCTTAAAAACACCCAGACCACCTATTGTCAGCATCTGCCCTAAGGACAATTCCATCAGGAACATGGGTATACCGGCCAATGCAAGGGCGATGAAGTAGGGCACCATAAAAGCACCACCGCCATTTTTGTAGCAGAGGTAAGGAAATCGCCATAGATTTCCCAAGCCTATGGCCAATCCCACGACGGATAAAATGAATTCGATCTTTAAGAAAAATGTATAAATTGCATTTAACAGTCATTAATCCAGACATCGCGCATCCCTTGATGTCTCACCTTGCTGCTCCAGTTTCCTCGTTCCGGTAATCCTCGTTCCTTAATGGGTCTCTTAATGATTGAAGATTGTCGCAAACATTGTATCGCCTCGAAACGAAAATCCGATTCTTTCTCGCCATTGGAAGGAGCTTTATTATTGGCGGGTTCAACCAAGAGAGCCTTCAACTCCTGCACTGGATGTACAGGACTCACCGCCGGATGTACAGGACTTACTGCCGGATGTACAGGACTCACCGCCGGATGTACAGAACTCACCGCCGGATTCACGGGTCTTGCCGTCGGTTTCCTCGGCAGAGGACTAGTGGATCTATCTACCTTGGGACGGCCGGTCGATCCCCTTGAAGGCATTATTTGTTGCGGGGACGAAATCGCGGGACGAGATCGAAATTGGAGAACTCACCTCATCCTAATAGACGGCTCGCGAATAGAGATCGGCGATCGTGCAACTTGCGTTCTTCTTTCTGATTTAACACTGGAACGTGCACGGGATGACTGTTGACTCGACAGTGAAGTGGAAAGAGAGAAGCGAAGGGCTGATTGATAATTGTCTATAATAGGAAGTTTGTAACGCAACTTTGTCCTATCCAGTTGCGTGAACTTAACAAACAGGAAGCTCTTTAAGAGCAACCGGACGTGTCACGAGAGGCCCGAGGAGAGTGTGGGGATGACAAGTCCCTAATATAAATAATAGAAATGAAATTTGTGTTCTCTCATGATAATATTCGCGGTCATCGTCGTCGTCGCGCGCATGAACGCGAGGTGCGCGTACAAGGTATGACATATAGTAGACAAGGGTCTTGATGATGACGGACGATGAATAACGAGCCACTTCCGGGAATCATAGCGTTCGCCGAATGCGTTCTCATCGTCACAACCTTGTCCTATTTTATTATTTAACTCATGGTGTCCTGTGTACCGCGGTATCGCGCGTTGTACGTCCGCTGCGATGACGACGAATGACGAAAAGATTCCATCGTACATAATCAGAATCTTAAAATCGTATAGATCGATCGCTGTACTAAACTGAAAGCTAAAGTTCAAAAAAAACTTTAGACCAATTAACGAATACGTTTTGGCGTGACAAACAATTCTACATTTGGTTTCAGATGATCTCATATAAGGAAAAATCTTCAAAAAAAAGGAAAAGGTCCATTATCAAGGAATCGATGCGTTTGTTTTTCACGAAAATCGTAAACGATACGTACACAATTAAGAATCCAGAGTGTGCGATTTTCCTTGGCGTTGCCAATATCCTGGTATCCTCCCGATGATCCTTATTTCCGCATCCTTGACATTCTGCCAAATATTCCGTTTTCTTTCACTATATGTGTGAGATCACTTTCGAGATCTTCAATACTCGGAAGAATACTTCAGAACTGCGGAACTTCTGCGGGGGTGATGTCACCCCTTTTGGAATGTCAGCCGAACGCTTACCCGAGCGCGACTTTGAGGAAGGGCTCGCACGGATGCAGAGATTTCTGCCGTACCCCGTCGCGATCTACCCCACAATGATGCTCGGTTCCCCTCGAGCATGAACGCACCTATCTTTCCATTCAACAAATTAATGCCACAGTGTCACTCTATATTTAGGCTGCTCGTACGATACGAAGAGAGATCGGCCGTTCGCGCGCGAATCATGCTGACTGAACGCAATACAATGTTTTCCATATTTTCTCTTTTACATGAGTCTTCCTATAATGATTTATCGTCATGTCGAAAACTAATATGCTTTGGGAAAACATCAAATATGCAGATGCTATAATATATAATAGAAGACTTGAAATTAACAAAATATCTTTTTAAAAAAACTTCGGAGATTTTTAAAATTTATGCATGACAAAGCGATTCCAAAAACAAAAATAAATATATTTTTTATTTTTTCTACTTTTGTAGATAAAATCATTTTATCGAATCATGTATTTATTTAAAATTTAAGTGCCATGATATTATTTAAAGTATCAAATTTCTCAGTTCTGAAATCTCTACGCTTTCTAAAAACGTGTTTTCACTTGTAAATATTATAAATATTGGTAAAAAAATTTGACTATTTTAAAATGCTGACACAACATTATATACAGCTGAATGAAAATATGATATGATATGTTAAAGAGATATGATAGATAGACGTGCAGAAATAAAATATATAAAAATACATATGTAAAAATATAAAATAACTAATAGCAGAACAAATATGAATTTGAAAACATAAATATAAGACAGGGAGTCATCTAGAGTCGAAAGGCACAATTTATAAATAATAATAAATATACAGTTGAATAAATTTTTATTTTTATATTCTTTTGAAGATACTTTTATTGGAATATTTTATCTTATTAAAGTTAGTCTTCCTTATATTCACAAGTTAAACAATACTAAGTATTCTTCACTTTACTTCAATTTCACTTTTAAAATGAAGCATAAAAACCTCGAAAAACCACAATGTAAAGAAAGAAAAATAAAGAAAAAATTTAATATTGTGCCATTTTTTTAAGGGGCCACTGATATGATAATGAAACAAGAATAAAATAAAACATTAATATAATGCAAACTATAAAGTTCCAAGATAATGTGAAAATTATTTTGATTGCGTCATGTATCTTCTACATTTTATATTTTTTTATATTATTATATCGTTGCGATCTTTAAACATAAAAATATAGTTTTGTAAATACTGAATATAATATATGAATATACAATATACTGAATATAAATATATTTATTCAAAAGTGTATGTAATTTCTAATACAAAAAAACAGTCATTAAAAAAGATACTGTGAACATTTGTTTAGATAAGAATATATTTATCGAATTGTTATTATTACTCTTACATTACTGAGTACTGCATAAAAAATGAAAAATTTCCTTGCGTATTATATTTACATATATATATATATTTATACATATTGTTAGATTTTTTAAAATAATTTTAAAAACATTTTTGAATTTTTAAGAATATTCAACGAGGGGGCTTAAGCATACCCGCATTCTCATTAAATCAATACTTTATTGAGCACGACATGCGCGAGAAAATTATGTTCCCGATGATCCTCGATAGCAACGGTGCATCCCGCATGCATTTTCGTGATCATGGACGGAAGTAACAAAGATAATAATGACGCGACGGAGCAGTTACGATGTTTCATCTGCGACATCGAGGTCCAAGATTGTTCCTATGTCTTGGCTACATGCAGAATGCAAAATTCACGGAGCAGAGTAATCAAGAAACTCGGAGAATTGGTCGGCGAAGGGTAATAAATCTGCATTATTTAGCCGCCCGCACGTGTCCGATCGGACGTTAAGTAAGACCAATTGTTTTTCTATCATAGATACATGGTCGTGATATCCGAGGACGACGTGATCTGCCGCAATTGTGGTAGCCTCTTCAGCAAACTCGATAGACTGGAGAGCGAAATGTACGAAACACGAGATCGCATTCTGCATTTTCTAGAGCAGAAGTACTCTTTGAAGGATGGTGAGCTTCGTTGTAAGGATAAGCCAAAGTTGTGTCAACCACCACAGATTACGAAGTCCAGTGTGAAATCGAACGAAAATGGCTCGAGCTCGGGCAACAAGAAGATATTGGAGAAATCTCATTTATGGATGCGATGTAACAAATGTAAATATACCACGCGTCTTGATTCTTTCACGATGCGCCATTTGAGAGACGCACAAAGGACATTCTGTGACAACTGTGGGCTCATCTACAATTCGGAAAGTCAGCAGAATAAAAAACACGTTTGTGACAAGGCGAACAATGTGAGAAATCAGGAAAACGAGACAGGTTACTTCCAAATTAAGAGAAATATCATTGTGATATTGTCGCTTCCAATTTTCTATAATCATTGGGTTGCTATTAATATATTGCAGACAATTTTAATGTTGTTATCAAAAATAACACAATAGAGACAATATCTTTAAATCAAGCTCAACCAAACTTGCCGATTACCCAGATACCAGTAATGACTCCTGCACCACCATTTCTTGCAAATTCTAATTATTTATATTTCTCTAATATATCATCAGCAAGTAAGCATTTATTATCGATAAACTAATGTATTAGATAATTAATTCTTATTTAAGATTTCTTATCTTAAGTATAAATTTAAAATATCATAAATCAGTCACACATAAAATCATATTAGGACCGAGATATAGACTGCATTGCAATGCCCATTTTGGATGCCCATGCGCCATAGGCATCATTCTATTTTCACTTTATATTTTACCAAAGGAAGATAAAACAAAATTTTCAGTGTGTGAGCGTCCAAAAGAGTATACTCGTAATGAAAGGAATAAGGGATATAAGAAATTAAAAATTAAAGAATTAAATTCAAAGAAAAAATTAATTTCAACATATAGGAATCCATACTTCAATACAAGATTAAAGAATATCAATGTGTTCTTGTATTAATTAAAATTAATTTTCTATTCTTAATTCTTTATATTTAATTTCTTATTTTTTTTTTTATTTATGATGTTTCTTAGAGCAATTAGAGTCAGTTCTTATATTTAAAATTGTTTTAAAATGAATTGGATAGTCTTAAAATTTTGCTTAGTCAATAAAATAGACTGCACAGCATTTTGAGATCATATTTATTATGATCTTAAATACAGAAATTGACTCTATATAATTCTCAATTGTATGTTTTAAGGCATTACCTAAGATATCTTGAAAAATGAATCGTAAATAGCGTTGAGAAACAATAAGGCAAATAAGAATCAGCGCTGTAAACGGTGCAATTAACACTTTTTATGACAAAAGCTAACGTTTCGACTCATGTTTAAATCATCTTCAGTGGTACAAGAAAGTAACACTATCCATTTAATGAGCTTAATCACAGGAATTAATGATATAACCACGTCGATCAACTAGATGAAACCGTCATTAAATGATTGTCAATTATCAGATAAACACAGTTTACAGAAAAAAACAGACGCAAGAGTACGGGATAGATCGTGTCAAGTAATTGTATAGCACATCCACATGCTTTGAGCTCAAGATGGTAACTGTTACACTTTCTTGTACCACCAAGATTACTCAAACGTGAGTCGAAACGTTAGCTTTTGTAATAAAAAGTGTTAATTGCGCATCGTTTACAGCGCTGATTCTTTGTCTTATTGTTTCCCATTGTTATAACACTAACAATCACTCTTGTTAATATGTAAAGCGTCTTTTAAAAAAAATCGTATTACAAAAAGGTGATGCCATATCTTCCCAGCAACTAATGTATATGCCGCAGCCAGTAAACACAATTGTCAGCCCAAATAAGATAACAGAAGCAGATTCAAATTCTATGCAGAAAATGAAAGTGAAGGAAAATAGAAGTGAAGATAAAAAACAGATGTTAACTTTGAAGAACGATGGAAATTTTGAAATGGTGGACATAGTGATAAAAAAGGATGAGAAGGAAACGTTGAATGTCGATCCGATAATGTTTCAAAAATTATAACGTTATATATGAAATGATGTTATATTGTGTATCATAATATAATATGAATGTGAATGTTATATTTTTTTCTTTGTACTCATAATGATATCAATTGTACTGATTGAAGTTTTATCATGATTTCAATGATTTCTTTCGATGAATATTAGAGACACATCGACAACATTAAAATATAAACATACGTATATTTATCTGATGATTAATTGTTTATAAATCAAAGATTTATAATAAAATTTATTTGAGTTAAGGAATTATTATTCTATAACATTTATCATGTTGTTTAAATTAGTTTGGAAAATGCGTGCTGTATAACACACATATGCGTTTTAATATTCAAAAAATACATCGACTCTGTTATTCTTTACGAATCATCTTTTATATAAAAAAAAATAAAAATATTTTGAAAAAAGGTAATTTTAAATTTAGAGGTATTAGATTTTTAATTAAAAGTTTTTAATATAGATATAAAAATTTAACATTTTTTAAATCGACTATATTTAAAATTTTTTTGTTTAATGGGTAAATAAACATATAATGTTTAAAATTATATATTTGTGTAACTTATTGTGTGAAATACATAATGTCGAAAAAAAATTGCACACAAGATCTAAAAAATAAAATTATTTGTAAATAAAATTAAGAAATAGAGATTGACATCAGGAGCTTTATTTTTGAAACATCGTCGAAAATCCTATAGTTTATGTGACATAGGATTTTCATATGCGATATGTTTCAAGAATAGGGCCCCAGTGTTATTTCTCGTTGAAATGCGACAATTTTTACGGATATCCTTTATTCATGAAGATAAGTTGATTCCGTTTTTACCGACATGAAAGTCGCATCTGGTGACATTTCCAGCACAATATTGGCATCACTGCCATTTGAAGCGTTTGAACGCGTCCTGCGACAATAGTTACGAGTGGAGCAACTGTAGAACTGGTTTTCGCATGAAGTCTCGATTTAATTGGTTATTTACTCAGATTTGTTCGCGAATGCAATGGCTCACGAGGTACCAAAGCTCAAGTGCAACCTATTTGACGTCTTTCAGAATAACGACTTCAGCATTGTGCAAAAATATATATCGTGGTGCCGGGAGTTTCGGCAGAATGTTGACATCAAGATCGAACAGAGACTCCTCTGCGAGAAGGGTACGGTACCTTGTGTGATTTTACATAGATAGACTGTCAAAAATTGATAAGAAATCAAGTTTACATGACGAGAGGCTTACTTGTGACCAATATTCATAATCCATTCTTATTTTAAGTAATGTTTTAAAATACTAACACAAATACAGATACTCTGTGGTTGATTATAAGATCTCAAATATATGTTTAAAACAATCTTAAATATAAAAATCGATTATAATTGGCCTGTGAGGATTCCTTTGCTAAGTATACTTGTTCATATTGTTATAAGTATATTTGTTCATCTTTTATAGATTTCACTGAAAAGAAATCTATCAATGCTGAAAGAATAAAAAAACTGGAACAGGACATCAACACAGTAAAATCTGACATAAATGCTACTGTATTGCAGCAGAATGTAATTAATAAGATGATATCCAACATAATGATATTAAAGGAGAATCTGAATTGCGAGCTGACAGAGGCAAAGGTGCAAAGGGAAACTTTGTTGCTAGAAATGATGAATTTAGAATCTGGTAATATACTTGTTTACTTACTAAGAAACTCATAAATTCAATATTGCATTTCTTCTCTTGCATTTATTCTTTTTATTTTTTCTTATATTTTCAGAGATAGAAGAAAGACAGAAAAAGAAAGTCTTACGATGGGATGCTATTAAGCGTGCGTGTCATTGTTATAAAAAGAACTTAGATATACATATAAGTCTTAATGAGGAAAAGGATTGTCAGTATATAAAAATCTCTTTTTTTATACACAATGAAGCAATGAAAGATAAATATTTTGTTCAATTAACCTGCAATCATAATCACTGGAAGGGTATGTGACATTCCAAATGTAAATCTGGAATGAAAAAATATAATTAATTGGCAATAATCGAACAGTTACCTGTATTAATTATTGTTTCAGTTGAACAAATCGAACCAAAATTGAGGAAAGAGCATCTCGAAAAGATAACCGTTATAGATTCTGAATGTTCCAGAGTATCGAACATCACTTTATTTCTATGTCAAGTACGTAGTATATTTCTCAAGCATTATATGAAAACTGAAAAATAATTGTAAACTAGTTAGTGCATTATTAATTATTAAAAATACAATATATTTTATATATTTTATAATTATATATTTTAATAAATAGCATTCTTATTTTATTCCACATTGTAAGTTTTAATAAAAATTAACAAAAATTTACATATATATATATATATATATATGTGTGTGTGTGTGTGTGTGTATGTGTGTGTGTATAAATGAAATATTACAAAATGAATTATTACATATTACGGTGTATCTAAATTTCGACACAATTTTATTCTGTGATTTAGAATAAAATGATATCTCTTTCTTTTTTCCTTTACTTGATTTTGTCACGAAAATTTATCTGCAAAATTTTAAGACTTAATAAAAAAATAAAACATGGGAGAGGAGAAGGAGAAATTGTGATTTACAATAGAAAAAATAACTTAGCTGCTAAAATTATATAAACAGATCTCTATCTTTATCTTTTTATAAGTATATACATATACTTAATACATATGTATATAAATGATACCTATACATACATTTAACATTGCGTCGTCCTCGCAGCATCGCGAGAAATTTACTTATAAGTAAAATCAGTACGACATTTGAATCTTATACTAATGTATTTGTATTAATCTTCGGTGGTTTTTCGGCGGTATTTGCATATATGCATGCTTATTAGATAAGCATTACATTTCCTCATTGTAATACTTGATCATTTATTTCACGATTTTCACGATGCCTCTCTACAACGCAAAGTTAATCTTTATTAAAATACTTAATGAGATAAATTATTTTGATTCTGAGTTCTAGCTAAAATTAAGCTAGCAGTCGTGCTATTGGCTGCTTTCTGCAATGTATATGTGTATCTGTATATGTGTGTACATATATGTATGTGTTGACATACGTGTATATGTACGTACATACATATATATTCATATACTTTGTCAAAAAATGAGAAGAAATACTAATCACCCGTCTAATTTAACGTCAAATTGATTTAACGTTAAAATGTCGATTCTTATGAGTTATGCAAATTTTCATATTTATACTACGTTTAATATTGATTACGCGCATAAGAAAGTCGAACTCCGAAACTGTCGATTTACAATTAATGTATTTAATATTACGAATGTTAATTTGGGAGAGAGCGCTTCTCGTATAAAGCTCCTCCGCGAATTTTTGACGAACGAACACGTTTATATGCTATATTTACTATAATATATTATTTACGCGCGCATGAAATAGCCAAAACATCATACGCGGGTTGATAAACGGGCTGATCCCATTATGTATGCGTAGAAGCACGTTGATAACAATTCGTCCCTATTAGCACAAGTTAACGAAGGAGTCAATTGATCGCCCACTGCCAATCTGCCCATACCAACGGAATAAGTTAACAGATTTTATTTGCTTCATTGACCCGTCGGGAATTCATTTGCATATACATGGCCATTGAGAAATTTGATTAAAGACCGAAGTCTACTACGATTTGTCATGTTGTAAAACGTCGCGACGTCATGTTTTCCCTCATTCGGATCGTCATTCCGCTGAGCGATACGTCGGAAACTTATCGGAAAGCAATGATTAATGCTTTCCGCTGCGTACTCGAGAAACGCTCGGATACTCCGCGCGTATTTCTAAAATACAATGATATTCTATGTACAATTTCTGTTACTCTGTCATATTGAACTCGCGATTGAATCTGTCGAAAATGCCATACGTTTTAAGTGATGAAAAAAAAAACGCACCGACGACATGAATAAGAATGAATATCGCATCGCTCGATCGATGCAATATCGAGTTTCGTGAATACATTGTCGATCATTTCCCATCTCGCATTCAACCTGAATTCAACAGAAAGAATAATTAAAGACGGCTTATTTCTATGTAATAAACGGGAGTCTTTCCTGGTACAGACTATTTACAATGCGAGAACATGTAAGGACCTCATCTGAACGGAAAGGTGAGTATAATTCATTCGCGCGCGGTACAAGTCCGCATTCATTCGTTCCTTATTGATTCCGTTAGATCCTCAACTTTTTCGCTCTTCCAAGGCTGCGCTTCGATCTCGAACGAACGCGATGTTCGTATCAGCCCGGTCTAACGGATATCTTTGGACGCGAAGGATCTTCCTATCGAGACTGTGCAGATCCAGTCTCGGGACTTAATATGACTAAAGAAGGTGCTTCTCTCGACGTCTTACGAAACCGCTCTCTCTATCTGTGTGGACAAACATTCTTTTCGTTCCCTCGACATTTCGATCGGGAACGAAATTTTCCGATAGTAGTCGGAAACACCGTTACATTACATTACTACCAATAGATATCCACAGAGACGACATGTCGTTTCTGACATGATCCGCTCGTATTTTAGTGGTCTACCTCACGCTCTTCTTGCCATCTCGCCCAACCAAGAAAACGAATTCTCGCGCGAATTTCTCTACGTCGGGACTTTATCCTCTTCTTTCCTTCCTGTCTTTATCCCTCCTTTCCTTCCAGGATCTTTATCCTGCTTGATGTGGTGCTCGCGCAATTATTCTAGTAGGGCCAGCACGCATCGCGGCGATGCCGGAGCCCTTACTCGAGGGTGGCGGCGAAGGATACGTTGCCCCCGGCGGCCAGAAGAAGCGTCGGCGGTATCGGTGCCGGCGGCTGTGCCGATGTCGATTCGACCGTCGACGGCCGCGCGGACATTGTCGTGGTTGGGCAATCGCTGCCGACCCCGTAAATCTTGGCGTGATTTACCTCGAGCGCGACGGTCAAGTCGGCCAGGCCGGCGTCGCACAGCACGGGATTATCTGTGAACAACAAAGCGTGCGCGTGAACATGTGCGTGTACATCTGCGAGAGTGAGCGTAAGGGCTCGCGGCGCGTGATGAAGTGGAGCAATAATAAGATATGGAGAAACACACGTATACGGAGATTGCCTGTAACAGTTTGATTTTTTGTCCCCGGTATCTCACGCTCTTATATATTTTACTGTATCTCAGCCCTAAATTCGAGAGCCGTATTTTCTGATCGTAAATTATCATAAAAAAAGAAATTATCGTAAAAAAAAACGCGTGATTAATGACGATGTGGCGCCAGCTGTGATAACAAAGATTCGCCTAGCTGTAATATTAGTCGTTAACCGTACTGCATTAGCGGCGTGGATTTTCTGAAGATTTTCCCAAATTTTTCATCCTTACGTTCCTTGCGTTTGCGAGTTCCACTGGTTTTCCGACATAAAGTTGCGAATAGAGATAAAAAAAAGTGTCAAATGGAAGCTGAGACTAACCAGAGATAACGGAATTGGACATGATAGACTGCAAAAAGAGAAAGCGAGCAAGAGAGAGAGAGAGAGAGAGAGAGAGAGAGAGAGAAGAAGAGAGAGAGAGAGAGAGAAATGATATATTAACAATAACAAAGCTCAACGGGCAGACGCCATATAATAAATAATTCGAGATGGCGCCACAGCGGGGGTTATCGCGAGAATTGTAACCGTTATAACAAATAATATACGCCTCGGGAGCCGAACGGAGCCAAGTCATTATCAGCGAGTAATTTATTTTCTGTCCCCCTCGCACCCGGCCGCTCTCTTCTGTCCCTTCTCTCACTCTTTCCTCGCTCGCCTTCCCTTTGTTTGTTTGTTCACGCTGGACCTTACAAGTGATGTTTATTAATTATCCAATGCCGTTGGCGCCACGTATCGTCCTGCCCTCTTGAGAATTAATATTTAACGATCTAATTTCCATTTAATCATTTGCCCATTATTATATCGAATGATGTTCAGCATTTCAGTCTGTCGAAAGAGAAGTGTGCAGGACATTAACGAGGAAAAGCGGAAGAGCAACATTAAGTTCTATTGAAATTAGAATTGTGATACATTTCTTTTGATATTTACTGCAGAATAGTGAAAAGTTTGTGTTCTATTAAATGAATTTAAATGAGAGAGCAAACTTGCGAGATGTCGGAATCCGCTACAATAAGAAGAGTCATCTCGCCAAGCGCAGACTCTTCTATGGGAATCAGAGCCACGTTTACGACTGTTAACTCGATTACCATTCGTCTGTGACGAATCTCTCTGGCTGGATAATAGACAACATTGCACATATTGGACCTTCCCTTTTTCATTTATGCGATTTTGTTATTAGACGTTACATCAAAATTACATATCACGCCATTCTCTGTTGACTTTAATTAAAAGTTATTTCATTAAATAATATTACAGATACATTTTTGAAATATTTTTAGAAAAAAAGAATTGCTTCTTTTCACATTGTTTGTTCCTGAATCGATATAAGAAATACACAACCATAAGAATCTTATAAATAGCGTGATGTAAATTTTAACATTTGTCTTTGTTATATAACGTTATTATAAACAATTTGTTATGTGCATGAATAAAGATACGTGCATGTGTGTGGCAAAGGCGTTAAATGTGATATGCCGGCAAAGAGCGGTACCTTCAGAAAAGAAGAGAGTGTAAGCGCGCGCGCGTGGTGTGTGTGTGTGTGTGTGTGTGTGTGTGTATGTGTGTGGATCTAATATAAACTCACCTTGAAGGTATATACGTAGCACGTCGGGGACTCCGTGAATTGTGCATCGCGTATTAGCCACCAACTCCGGCATGAGAGTATGTATTTGATTCATACTGACGTCGGCCCAGCAAAGCACTGGGAAACTGCGGAAATCTCGGCCGGACAGTGTCACCAGACGATTGTGTGACATGTTCAGTTCTTCCAGGGACGGCAGCCATGTCTAAATGATCATACAATCGATATAGGTTTACATGGCGAATAAAGGAAAAAAAGCAATGGGATATCTCGAACGAATGCTTTTATTTACCTCCGGCGTGCTCTCGAGAGTGGTGAGTTGATTGTGCGAGATGTCGAGCGTGCGAAGCCCGTTGAGACCGCGCAGATCATGCAACTCGAACGTGGGACCCAGCGCGTTATGACTGAGATTGAGCTTCTGCAACTCCTTCATGCCCAGGAATAGAGAGCCATCCAGGCTACACAGTTCATTATGCTGAAGACGCAGATCCTGGATATTACCACCCACGATCTCTTCGCCTTCCTCCTCCACTAAGTTCTGCAGAGAGCATGAATAGATTCCAACCATTGTTAGATCAGGCAAGCAGATGTAAGCAACTTCGACGAGGACGTTCGTCGACACGTAAAATATCGGATGACGTAGATACCTACCTCGAAGGACGGCCTTCCTTTGTGCAGTCTGGCGATTCGATTGTTCGACAGATCGAGCAGCCTCAGCTCGCGCAGATCGCGTAGAGAAGCCAGTGAGAACTCCCGGAGCTCGTTGTGCGTCAAATTCAGGCATTTGAGCGATCTGAGAGGATAAAGAGCGCTACTTCCATTTCCATCGCCGCCGAGAGACTTGAGAGAGTTGTAACCGAGCTCGAGGTCCTCCAACATCTCGGTCTCTAAGAAATCGTCCGCGTTCAGCTAAAGAGGCATAATTCAAACGTCTGTTGAACCTCTATCCATATTGTAATATGCGCGCAATCAATCGCGCCCGATTAACGCTGATTCGAGTCGACGTGTGACGCAATTCGAGTGAGAAAGTCGCAACGCGGGACGCGCTTCCCGTCCATCTGTTTCTTTCGAGTGCCGATTTGAGATCCTTCCGCCAGGCGGAAGGCGGCAATAATTACGTTACGTCGCGGTAATTGGCTCAATGTATGGTGCGTTTTCGCCTCCTCCGACTCCCCCGCCGTGTCGCGCGCGTTAAAGCGTAATACTCGAGAGCACGTGCGCTCCGGATGCGCTCGCCTGACGATGCCTCGCGAATTATAGTCACGGATCTGCTCTCTCACTCTTTATCAAACTACCCATTCGTTAACAAAAATGCAAATTTTTTTGCAAATTGAAAAATGAAATTTCGTTCTCGCGTCCTACAAACGAATCGAATATATCATGTAAGAAATTAAAAATATTACAAGTGAGAATGAAGTTTAGGAAGACTTATACGTGAAATGTGGCGAGTTAAATACCTCTTGCAGTTCGTTGTAAGAGAGCTCCAAGAACTTCAGACGTCTGGCTTTCTGCAGAGTACCATCGAGATTTCGGATCTTGTTTTCTTGGAGGAAGAGAGTCTCCAGACGGTGGAGGTATCGGAACTCAGCTGGCAGATGTGTCAGCTTGTTATCCGCGGCGTAAAGCATCTTCAGATTGTGACCGGACGACGGTAGCTCGCCGTCGAGTGACGTGAGCTCGTTAGAATTAATGAACAACCACTCGAGTTGATTCAGATCTCTGCAAAGCAAACAAGTGGGGCACGTGGCTAAAATCGCGACGGGTAAATTTTATTGTACGCTTCATCGCGGAGTGTCATCAAAAATTCTCGAGCGTGATTTTAAAGGTCGATGCCAATCAGCGGACCAGGGAATTTCTTTGAATCAATGCGAATCGCACGCGTCAATCCGCTTGGTGGCACAATCATAAACAGAACGAATTAGATAAGAGACGAAATGTCTGAATGATAAGTAAACAGGATAGGCAAGATGCTGCGGTAGCTTTCTAACACAAACGAGAGATGCAAAGATCATTGATGGGAGTCGTATCCTTGATATTAATGACGATGCAGTTTCTAATTTTTCATAATAATTCTTAATATTTGAACCGTCTATTCCACAATTCTTAAAATCGAAACTGCGCACTCCAAGTTCAAACTGATCTACGAAGAAAGAACTTGGTGATACCTTAAAGTGTGATTCAGGCTTTTCAGACGATTCCTACCGACGTGCAAATGCTTCACTAGAGGCGGTAGTGAGCCTGGGATCATCTCGGATATCATGTTTCCGGCCATAGCCAAGTGCTGAAGCGTTGGATTGTACTGAAATAAAAAAAAAGAATTTAAAATTGCAACGTTTCATAATAAATTTGTGTGATTTTCTTTCCTCCCTCTTTAGAACTGTTAATGTCATCATAATTCTTTTTCTTTTATCTACTAATGCCTTTTTTCATCAGTGTAAAAGTCTATTTCTTAAAATATTGAAACTTGATTCTGTATCTTTTCTCAGAGCAATTCTCGAGTCATGCATTTTTGAAGTATACAAAAAATAAGATTTTCTGGCAATTTATGTTACTGTGTGCAGTATACAAAAAAAATTCGTGGTTGACTAGTCACCTATATCATGATGTATCATCTGAACAAGTCTCTTTATTTTTCGATTTTAATGATTTCTTTCGCAATGCACTCGAACTCGAATAAAATAATCTAATCCCGAGTCGCTTTACCTTAAAGTCATCCAAATCGATGCGGCTTATCTGGTTCCTATTGAGATCCAAAGTCCTTAATAGCGACAGATGTGACAAGATGTGCCTCGGTATCGACGGTATCTCGTTATCTGCAAGACTCAAATATTGCGTTCGACCTAGCCCAGCGAAAATATCACCGTCCATAGTTCTGCAAATCATAACATCATGCTCGTTCACGGGTCCTTGACTTCGAGAAAACGACATATGATAATCACGCGAGCGGCGTTTCCGCGCTCGTGATTCTTATTTTTCTAAAGATCTCTTTTTTTTTTCTTTCCTTCTATCGAGAAAGCCAGTAGTATTTCGTATATTTTCCTCTATTACAACGCCGTTTATCATTCGCGTAGTAATACGTAACCGGAGCAACGGGCCAATGAGGGCCCTGAAAAAGTGGCGACGCGCCAGACGTTATCGTTCGATTATACACTTAGTGTTGGCTCACTGCGACTCGTTATTTAATTATTCCGACGACGGTAAACACACACAGCCACTCGACGATAACTCGCGCGAAGAGGTCAGGCACGATTAAGATTTCATTCTTACACCCCGTCCCTTCTCCCGCTGTGTGTCTCGCGTAGATACTTGATGTTCCTAAAGAGAGGTACGATCCTCAAGGACCATCGTTCGTTTTTCAGCCCCGTGTGAGATTCGCGCGACAAGACAATCAAGGAAGACCAGTAGTTCGTCCTCTGCATCGCTCGTAAAAGATGATGGCCGGGCGTGTTTATTATGCCGGGGAATCACAAGTGACATAAAGTCAAAGTCGAGTGTACGGATTGCAAAACTCGCCGAAGCGAATCCACCGTAAAATCGAGACATTTTGAGAGGATTTATTGTCTTATCCTTTACTCAGGATCTACAAAAGATGTAATAAACCTTAAGATATATTTATGTTCTAAGCTAAGTAATTTCCAGCAAAAAGCATTTCTTAAGCTGCCTTAAGCCGTAATCCCTAAGCTTTAAGGATCGGTCAGATCTCAAATGTAAAGTTTAGGGTTTAAAGCGGCGCAGAAAACATTTCTTACTACATATTACTGAGCATAAGGCTTTAACGCTTGCTACTATCTATCGTAGACCGAGGATCACGAATCTCTGTAATAAAACGCTTATATGATATCCTACTTCTGCTGGATTGTCGTTTACTTGGATCATTATTATCGCTTTGTCTAAAACGAAAAAGTAAAGGAAGTAAAGAAGTACTTATATGACAGACACCATCGGTCAAGATACAAGCCCGCAGGTGATGCTGAACAGATCGTTGTATCGCGAAGCGTCAATGATCGAAGCTTGTCAACCAACTGTGAGATTCAGTGATAAAACGTGACATCCCGACGAGAGTTCAACCGTCGGTTCAAACGCGCGGTGCGTAACGGCGCCGCGAACGCCCTCGCAAATACTCGTTGTGGGAATTAAGATCGCTTCTTTGTTATACATATACAAATGCCTCCATTCAATGTCCGCAATAGCAGACGATGACCTTTTGCAAAGATACTGGCTGACCGTATCGACGTGTGTGGCATACTTTGGACGAAGACTACATGACGGAGTACGCGAGTACGGATGAGGAACGTGGACGACGGTACCAGCCGTTTAATTCCTCGTTCTCCGATTTCCCTGATTTTTCGTTCTGCGAAATCTTCGGTGATAACCGAATTATGGCAATCGCTTTTCACGCCGATTTTCTTTTTCTGAATTCCTGGCCAAATCAATACTGGATTAATCAAACATCCTAATCTCTATCGATTTGAAAAAAATGGAGGCAATGTGACGTATAACGAAAGAATGATGTTGAAGAGAGCAAAGTTGCTTAGTTAATGTTTACCACGTTTGAGGAATAGATGATTTCCGAAACGTTGTTATCTCCACGCGACTTTGTACACAGCGGATTGTTGCATGTAGTAACCATGACTGATAAACCGTGTCGTTATCGCGGCTCGCGAATTCTTTTCATACTTACCAAAGACTTCGGCACTTGGACCGCGATCTTACCGATTCGAAATCTGTCGGCGGATTCGCGCGCGTTATCATTGATCCTCCCGATGGCAAGCGGGAGATGATCGTTTCGTCACTTGCCTAGTCACGCTTATCTCTCGCACTTACCCGAGATGATCGTGATTTAGCTCGAGTCGGGTGATAGACATACGCAGCTCCTTGAAATCATGGCGTGATATGTCGCGTAGATTCGAGTGCGCCACCCGCAAAGTGATCTGCTGCTCGGGGGTGAACTTGCCGCTCAGAGCCTCGACCAGCTGGTCGAATGATCTCATCTTCTCGCATAATACCTCTATACGTTCCCCTATGTGGTGACCGCCACCACCGTTTCCTCCACCGTCGCCGGCATTGGCGACCCCGTTCGCATTGGCGACCTCGCTGTTGGATGCAGCCACCGTCACCGGCACCTGCGCTTGGTTGATAACGGGACTGGAAAACTCTTCCTGTCGGCAGGTGCATGGGCTGATCTCGCGGCGTACGGCGCAGTGGAGGCTCGTGCTGGCCGCAAGGCCCAGCAACGTATAGAGAATGCCGGACATGCTGTCACTTGTGAGAATGGAAGCCTAATTGCAGGTATGATTGCAGATGATCGCGTGATGCGAATGAACGTATGCGCGAGAATGACGACGTCGCGCGAAGGGCAAGTCGCGAAACAGTGGGACCACGCACGACCAATGTCCTCCTTCGCCTCACAGCACACTGTGTACGCACAACGTTATACGGACGTTATCTTACCACAATAATCGCGTTTGAAACAACCTCGTGAAGGTAAAATGTGAAATATAGAGGCACGGTATTTTGTATAATGCGAAAAACAAATTCGAAGGTCGCTGTTTTCAAACACTGTCACGCTACCGATCACTGATCAACATTGGCGAGCGAAGCGGACACGATAGCAAGACCGACTGACAGCCACGTGTTATCCGCACTGTCGTGATGATCCACTATTCTATGGAATATAAATTCACCGCGTCTCCCTCTCTATTTCTCTTGGTCCTTCCACTTGTTCGCAGTCGCAGGAGGCTTATCGTCGTCACCAATGGGACCTTCCTCTTGGCGCCACGGACGCGGCGACGGCATTAAGCCGCGGCGCGCCGCGCGAGACTTACTTATAGTCGCAACCGAGTCGTCGCGTCGGTATCCACCGTGGCGCCGCACGCCTCCTCGGCGAGGGACTCCCTCCGGACTCTTCTTCACTCTTCTTATGACCCCCTCCGTCGTACGTTACGCGCGTACACCGCCGACGGGCTCATCTTCTTTTTCTACCGGCCGCGCGCTCACTCACGAACGGTCCAGCCCGGCCCGGTTCCTCGGCTCGGCTCCGACAGCTGCTCTCCCCCTGCGCGCTACCACCACACCCCAATACTATGCATATTCTCGTTCTTTTCCTTCCTTGCCTCGTTGTTGTTCACCTCGTGTTTCCTCCTGCTGTGCCCCATGGCACGTTCCTTACTCCCTTGCCGTGGCTACCGCGCTTACTCAAATCTGGTCTGTCTCCCCAGTAAGACGACGCTTTTATCTCTTTTTACGTTTATCCAATTATTTCCGGAAGTTTTGCTCGGCCCGAAGGAAGGAGAATCTCGTCTCTGCTCAATGTGAATCTTAACTCGGGAAGGACGAAGAAGTTTCGTCAGGTCAACCTCCTCCAGCGGAAGATTCATCAACCTTTTCATGTCGTCCAACGCGTCGCGTACACGCCGCGAGCGTTGTTTACACCGATAAACCAACGGATTGCTCAACTTTTGACCTTTGCTTAACTGCTTCGCACGGTGACATGAAAGAAAATATATACCAGATAATTCCTTCGCGCTCTCTTTCTCACTCACCCTCCATTACGTTTTCTTGCTCATTTTGTCACAAATCGTTTTGTGGCGATAGACCGCTCTCCCCTTCCTCATCCCTTTGTCTTGTCCTTTCACCTAGTTAGAAATTGCAAATTTGTTTGTCATATTGATATAAATAAAAATTACAAAATATGAGCAAAATCGATTATGATAAGTTTCATTAAATTAACTTATGTAAAGCTACTAATTATCGAAATTCTGCAAAATAAAATGCTTGATTTCAAAGGGAAATTTGAATTAATTAATTTTCAAACAGAACGCGATAATTAATATGCAATATATTCTTAAACAAATTTTTATATATAATTCTCCCTTCAATACAAGAGTCTAAAAAATAAATCAAAGTATGAAAATAAATAAAAAATTCTATGTCCATATTACTTGCATCCTGCGGAATGATTAAATTCGTAGGAGACGCATAGATTTTTCTGGAATGTCACTTTTACGATACTGGCCAAGAGATAACAGTTATCATTATTAAACTCGTTAGACTTAGGTTTAACTGATACATCGTCAGCAATTATTAAGACCGAATGAAGATCGAATATCTAATTTCATCCGCGTTTCAACGCGAATGATTTGTAATGCTAGGATTTCAGGTAGCCCAATAACTCGTGCAACGATATCTTCTTTTTCCGTTCTCTTTTTTTCGTTCTCCTAATACTGAAACAGATATATATTTCAGATACGAAAAAATTTATCTTTCATTTATCTTCGTTTATCTAATTTATCTATCTTCGTTTTAAGTATCGACATTATTTTGAAATGCTGCATCGAAATTCGGACGAACCGAAATTATAACGGGATCTTTTATCAAAACGTGAAAGGGTCGCAAGAAACGTAGCACTCTCGCCCGTTACAAATTGGAGAGATAAATCCCAACTTCATGTTCGTTAATCGTACGAGGAGCGATCTCTGGAGTACGCGTGTCCGTGTCAAGATCGTAAGTGTTTCTATCAAGGGTTTCTCTGTTCATCGTAAAATAATATCGATTACTTAATGAGCTCGCCGATGCGGCGGCGGCGCTTCACGGGTCGCTTGTCATCCGAGTAAACGTCTCTATCTATATAACGTGGCTGTTTACGCGCATGATTTACGTACCCATTTATGTGCTGTAACTCGCCAGAGGTATGTCGTGCAAATTCTCGAGTACGGCGCCACCGCGACTCGCCTTATATCCTCTTTAAGCTATTCCACATTGAGCTACTCCCATGGTATCTATCTATACTGGCGCCTATAATTCGCCTAATCTCTCTCGACGTAAAGGTCATCAAACTGTAGACAATGCGGTGAAAAACATAGCTTTAATTTTTCGCATACATCTCTAGCTAAGAGAAAAAGAAAGGGAAACAAATTCCGACAATTTTCATACCAAGAGACACGATTTTATTTATCTCTACTGTCAAAGATGAGAGCGCGAGAGAAAAAGAAAGAGATTTTCTCTTTGTCCTGCCGATGCTGTCTCTCCTATTATTCTCTGCGAGCAGAGAGTAATACGGGAGCAAGGGAGGAAGCCACAAGCGAGAGAGGCCAGTAGGCGAGGTAAAGCGAGAGAAAGCAAAACAAGGCAAGACAAGGCAAAGCGAGGCAGGGCACGAGGCATAAGGTACGAGATACGAGGCGGAGGGACCGAACTCCGTGCCTCGGTTTAACGAATGCGAGAATGCGGCCTGGCGCCAACGCACACACGGCCGCGCCGCCGCGCCGCGCCAGCCGCCCTCGGCCGCTGCGTCACGCGCTCTCGCCGGTTCTCTTTCTCTCTCTGTTTAACGATTCTGTTTAACCTTATCGGAATTCAAAATATATTAAACTGTAACCGATCTTACAATTCGTGTGTTCCGCTTCGTACTTGGAATATGACAATCTTGCGGAAAATAAATATATCGACATAATTCCCAAAAAATAAAAGCCTCCAAGCATTCTCTCCGTGTCTCGAGATGACTATTTGATTTCTCTCCGCGATCCTAGAAAATATTTCCATGTTACTCTTCTGATAGAATCTTACATCTACAATACGTTACATCTATAATACGTTACATCTATATGTAACATAAACGCATATGATATTTTTGCAAATTGTTTAGCGAATCCATTAAACTTGCCAATTTTAATACCATATATTTTTAAAATAGCTTACGAATGACATCACATACTTAAGGAGTTATTATTACATGATAAGATAAATCTTAATGCACTTTACCCTTTCTCCCTTTTCTTATCGGCTATTGGCGTATAGGTACACCGTTTCTCTCAGGCGCTCGGCCTGCATCTGTATACCGCATAGCTTGGAGGTATGCGGACAAACTCCTCCTTTTCTTATCGAGAAAAAGAAACGTTGGAGGAAAGAAGCAGCAGGAGAGCAGAGAGTGGAAGCAGAGCGAGGAAGATAGGTGCGGGCATCGCGCACGAGTATACACGATAGACATTTTACACGCTGCATTGAGATATTGGGCAATAACCGCCTGACGTGGGCGTCGAGGACATTCAGCTTGAAAATCGACCCTATTTGTAGCTTACAGCTACCGAATTTCGTATTTCTAACACTAGATCGATCGATAGATCCATTGTTCTCAAGGTGACAAATCGATCCACTCTTTTCGACCGCATTCTCCTTTTTTACTCTTTTCTTCGGATATTCTTTCCTCTTCTTTTCATTTTTTTATAGAAGAAAAAACCTCAAGTGGCTATTTTATCTTAAGTATGAGCATGATCCTTGCATTGCATTTTTTGTTTCCTTCGTCACACCTCTACACAATTCTTGCAATATGTTTACATATGATATTTTTATATTATATTTTTTTTTACACTGCACTTTTAAATAAACAAGTATACAGCTTTTGAGAAAGGGGCATTTAAGAAATATTCAAATCATAAACCTGTCAATTTTTCTTTCTTTCATCGATTATATAATAGCAGCAAAAAGTTGTAACATGCGATTTGTCTCTGTAAAAATCAAATTTAAAAATTAGACAATTTTCAAGCCGTTCAAAGAAATGTATTCAGTTTTTACGCAGCTACTCAAAATAAATAATAGATTAGTAACTTATTTTTTACTTTTTCCAATATTTGAATATATATAATATATGAATATATGTAATATATGAATATATGTAAAATTTTAAGAATATATTATATCAATTTTTTTAAAGTTTCAGCCAAGTTCATATTATATCCCGTAAAAGAAATGTTTGTCTTTGCTTTTTCACGCTTCTGGCATCTGGCCTCTCTTTCTCTTTCTCTCTTTTTCCCTCTTGCTCGTTTTTACATGACGCCACGCTGCGTGGTTGACCGCGAAAGGAGTAAAAGAAACTATATGAGAGAAGATTAAGTTAAACATATACTGACGATCTAAATCTAGAAGGGCGTAATGCCATGAGTTTGGCTAACTTTTCTCCGCTTCCAAGTTAGATTACAACGGAAACACTTGTTTTGTTTGAACTTTCATCCTCTGACAATTAGTTTGTTATCTTCGGAGATATTTCTATCTATTTTTTCCGGCTGATATTTATTAATCATAGAAAGCGATAAAGCAAAAAAAACAGGAAGAAACACTTTGTTTAAGTGCCTCGACTTGGCACTATTCTTTACTTTCTATATTTAGATATGAATGTTTTTTTTTGATATCACAAAGTAAAAGTTTCGACCGAGTGCACGTGTACGCAGTTAAAGGAAATATTATCATTCGGAAATATGCTCTTCGCACGGGACTCGTCAGGATATCCCGGGCAATGTTGAGAGCCTCTGACACGTGTGTGTTTACGATGGGGATTTAAAGCCGGCGCCCATCTCTTGCCTTTTCGTCGCGGCCACGGCCGAATAATCCCGACCGAATTTTTCACTTCCATCGCTCTTGCTGGATCTTGTTTCTGTATGGATACACTGGGCCCTGCGGGACCGTTCGTGTTGCAGCAGAGACTGAAGAGAAAAAGGAGAGAGAGAGAGAGAGAGAGAGAGAGAGAGAGAGAGAGAGAGAGAAACCGGACAGGACGTCTCGGGTCAACTCATCAGGCACCCATCGGATCCCGAGGAAACTCCACGTCGCGAGATGTAGGACGTGCACTCATCACTTCCTGTATGCGATACCAAAACACTATTAACATTCTTCCAACGAATAAGCAAAATGCTAGCAATGTGATATAATACCAGTTTACCAATAGACTCAACGGAGTATTACCGTATTACCGTGCCATCAGCTGCATTCATCATATTATTACATATTCATATTAGCATCATATTAGCAGATTATACATTCTTGTTGATTTATACATTATACATAAACATTACAACATTCAGCTGATAAAATTTGTAGTAGACTTTCTGCAAAATCTGTTTTCGATAAATTTGGATATCTAGATACCTGTTGTGATAAAATTATTATGTTGTTATACATTAATTATAATAGCTTTCAAAAAAATTTTTCTTCTAGTTTTCAAAATATTTTATGTAGATTGTTAGATGTTAAAAACAAATCTGATTTCCAAATTTATATAATTACATTAGGATTCAAAAATAGTGAATTGTACAATTTGCGAAGATATATACAAAAAAGACTATAAATACAAAAAGATTTATTTAATTATACATAAAATACAAAATTATGTCGGAATAAGAAATGAGAATTGTAAGCAAGCAGTCCGGAAGAAGTGATAGAATTCAATTTTTTAATAATTTTCAATCAAATCGAAACCTATTGAAAATGGAAAATTATCATTTTAAAATAATTCTTAGATATGACTCGTCAAATTTGCTTATTGCTTCAATTTTACTACTTATGTTTTTTCTACATATCATTAGCTTCATTCCATAATCTTTATTCGAATCTTTATTCCATAGTCTTTTATTCGATCAAAGCCTTTACAATCATCTCTTTAAAATAAAATCTGCATCGTATGCCCTCTTTTATATGCAATTATTCTGTTCTTTTTGTATACTTCTTATCTCGCGAATTTTAACTTATTTATTTTGGAAATCCTGATGTGATATGTAAATTTGAAGACCAGATTTTCAGATTAGCAATCCGACGTTATTTTTCGTTTATTTCCCAGCTGCATTTTTAGTATAAAATAATAAAATACTTATATCTATATAAATTATATAATTCCATTCAAATATTAGAAAAAAAATTCTTTTTCTATAGATATATAAATTCTTTTTCTTCTTCTTACAATCTGTTATTACTCAGACAACACAATATCTAAAATCGGGTCATAACACATTTTAAAAATCTTTTTAAAGATGCTTGACGATTTGATTTTAGACAGCGTTGTTTGAGTAGGTTATATTATTATATCGATAGAAAAAAGGACACCATGTGGTGTGCATCCTCCTCGCTTCCAAGAATGCTCTACTTTCAATTACAAAATGTAATTGTTGCATTCGAGTACATAGAGGAGTTGAAATACTGAAATATCGAAAAATCAAGAATTAAGTAACAAGCATATAACAAAAATATATATTCTTTTTATTTATTTCTGATTTGCTCTTCTCTGACCCTTGACTTTTCCATGGTTTTGCAAAAACAAGCTTGATCTTCATTAATCAAAATATATATTCCTTTCTTCTTTTAAAAATAAACTTTTCAAAAAGGCAAATATTCTCACCATTGATAACTTTCAAGTATATTAGTATGTTTCTGGCATTCTTCATCGTCATAAGATACACCTAGAATCTTCAAAAAGCTAATTCGTATTTACCAATTGAGAAATAATGAAGAATAACAATTAAATTTCGAATCATCCATCGATCTCCGATGGATTCGAAGACCTCGGTGGACGTATAAATGGCGACGATCCGATCGTTCGAAAAGTTCTGATTTCTAGTTTGTGTCCATCGTCGCGTCATCTCGCGGCCTCTGACCAAGCTTCGAGCGATACTCGTGCAACGTGAGCAACGAACGATGATGCATCCCTGGCACGGAGCCTCCGCTTCCTGAAGCTTAGGGATTATCGTCGCCGCGTGTTGTCAACGCGTCATCGCGTCGACGGTAAAGCGCATTCTGGGTAAAATAACGTGTGTCGCGTCCTCCTCCCTACGTCCCTGCCCTGCGCCGCCTCATCCGTCGATCGCGCATTGTGCGACGTTATGAGACACGCGAGAACGAGACGGGCGAGCGAGTGAAACGAGCGAGCGAGCGCGCAGTAAGCGGAGCGGAGTCGCGTAAACGTTGAATGTGCTCTCGATATCTCGTTCGCGTCCAACGCTTCCCTTCCTCATTCTCTCTTCAGACCGTTCTCGGTTCGACCCGGCCGTGCGCAAGAAGGCGATCGTGATTCTCGAGCGACGTTTTCGTGACGGGGAAACGCGGATTCGTGAGTACCCCGGGTGTCCCTGGTACTGCCACATCTACATCACCGCCACTCGGGCATCTCGAAGCTTCCACCGGAACGGAGGAAAGCGTGTCACGCGCCTACGAGGATGATCGACCTAACAGTCAAGACCTTGGACTCGCAGAATCACGTCTTCTCTCTGGAAGACGATGTAAGTCGCTTCCCCTCTTTTCCCGGGTCTTCTGTGAATCACATGTCGATCGCGGTGGACTCCTCTAAGATCGACACGCGTCTGCAGATGTATACCTTGGCAACATCTGGAGATGTACTCGAAAGATGTACGCGGTGCCTTTGTTTTTCCATGCACCGAGTATATACGTGTACCACCTCCCTCCTCCCCATGGATCTCTCATTTATTTAATTATATAATGTATCTCTGCATATTCTCTCTCCCTTGAAGCAAATCACGGTACGCGGCTTTAAAGAGTACATAGCAGAATCTGTCGCGGTACCAGCCGATTCGCAGAGGTTGATTTATTGCGGACGAGTGCTCCAAGATGAAAAGAAATTAAATGATTATGGTACATATATACGCTATACTTACTAATATATAAATAACTTGCTGCGTATATCACGCTGCAACAAGATACTTGGATACCTTAACATGATATGATTTTTTAGATGTCAATGGGAAAGTTATACATCTGGTGCAACGCGCGCCACCTCAATCTGGCCAACATGGAAATGATGGCGGACAGACACAGGGGCAGAATAGGCAGGGATCGCAGAGCAGGCCACATTATCGGGTCACACGTACCCAGATGCATGGAAATGCAATGTATCTAGGTGCTATGTCTGTGCCAGCAGAAATTGTTGAAGGTCATGGTAATGTACTCTGAATGTTTTTCTATTAAATATTTTCTGTCATTCTCCTTTCAATAACATCGCCTTTTGATTATATTTCCAGGTATACCACAGCTGAGCAACAGTTTATCTGGTAGTCGACTTAATCATGCTGGTCGTATGCTCGATCGTATAAATGAGTTGATTGATCGACTAGATGATCCCAGTTCTCCTCCCCTGCATCCTGCTCCAGAATCCAATCAATCGACTGCACAACAACAGCAGCAACAGCAGCAGCAGCAACAACAACAGCAACAACAGCAAACACAAGAATCAGAAGTCGAACAAAATGAGTGAGTTAAATGAGCATTTAAGTTGCAGGTCTTAAGTTGTAGATTGCAGCACAATAACAGTTGTAAATTGCAGCACAATAACAGTTTCATAATTCTTCAGAAATAATGATGCCGCACGAGATGATGGTGCCAGGCTTGCCGAGGCAGCTGCAGTCGCTATTACAGCTGCGTTGTCAGCCGCTGGAGCGCGCGCGGTTACATTGTTCCGAGGTTTGTACATTCGCAAACCTGATTAGTTACTTTTGATATATATATATTTAATATTCATATATTTTTTCGTATATCGCAAAATGTGATATCTCTCTTTTTCGAATATTTGGCAATATTCAGGAAGCAATTATAATGGTGGAAATACAAGAACTACCAACGATGTGAATGAAACTCAAAGTGACGCACAATCGACACAGTCCCAATCGCAATCACAGTCCCAATCGCAATCACAACCACAGCCGCAGGCACAACCGCAACAGCAACAACAAACGCAAGCGACTACAGATACAGGAGCTACATCAAGCAACGCTGGTCAAAACAGACGGACTCAACAACAGGAGTATGTATCTCGATTTAAATACTTTATGAGTTAATTAGCACATTTAAACATATGTGATTGTTAATAATTTTTCTCTTAGTCTCCCGCGACCTCCGCAAATGGCAGAAATACTGCAGAGACTGTGCACTACTCAGGAACGTCTGAGGCCATACTTGGAACGTTATTGTATGCTCACACTTCTCGATCCTTCGTTACCAACTGGAGTAAGTTGATAAATTCACTCTTGGTTTTGATCCTCAAATACGCGTACGAAACAAACTTCTGCTTTAATGAAAATAACCGATTATTGTTTAGCCTGGACAGAATGCCGTAGAGCAAAATCAGAGAATAGTGGACGGAGTCAGCGAAATTCTGCATCTTATGTCGCACAGTTGTCACGCATTGAGCGATATCATTATTGATATGAGTCAGCCGCCGCCGAGAAATTTACGCTGTCGGCCAATAATAGTGCAACATTCAGCTATCCTACAGCCTGGTATACCGATCCAAGTAGAGGTATGTCGATTAAAAATACATAAGACATAAATAACTCGACACCGCATGCCTGCTCATGTAACTGATATTTTTTTATAGGCTCATATTAGTTTGAATGGTCGTACTCCTAACAATAACAACAGTAACGACGAGACGACCGAGTCTGGTAATCAGGCGCAATCGGATAATGCGGAATCGGCAAGTTCGTCACACATTAATACTGAGGAACATCAGGAACGAGAGTCCGACAACGGAACGCAATCGCAAGGAGAACGATCGCATGATCAGGGACAATCGCCTTTCGGTGCATTTCATCATATCGCGATATAATTTGACAAAATGCTAATTGTTAGACAGTATATTAAAACGCACATCATTTTTCTAGATACAGTATTCAATTTGCCGAATAACGTCGAGGTGCTAATGGAAGTTAGTTCTGAGAGCAATCTAGATGCTGGATCGGGCAATGAACAAAATGTGTCGGGTAATGAAACCAATAATAATGCCCGTAAGTTAACATCATTATGTTATACGCGATGATGTGATGAAAGACGTTTATCTTTATTAGACGACGTTTATCTTTATTCGGCACTTTCTATTTTTCAGGCAGGACAAATGTATTTCCGTTTGGCACGCCACCACCGCCGTACTTCATGCGAAACTTTATGCAAGCCGTTGCCGGACACATGGTGCACGGCGGCATCACCACCACGACTATAAGTACGAGAAATCCTCCCGTTACTGCCGCAGGAGCGCAACAGGGTATTTCTGTGTCGATGGATAGTGGAAGCACGAATGCCGGTCAAAGCACTCAAGCACGGTATAATCCGATTAATAATATTTGATATTTGTATAAAATTTATAAAATTATCTTATAATATTTTTCTTTGCTCTAGATTAACTCTTATGTAATATTGTTATTAAATGATTTTGAAATTCATAGAAGCAACACTGGTACTCATCCTACCACTGCCACGCAAACTCGAAGTACATCGCGGCCACACGTGTTCCATCATCACACTCATCCTATGGGTCTCGGTATGAGTATCGGATTAGGCCTCGATTTCGATCCTTATCTTCCTTGCAATTCGCATCACGTATATCGCTCTCCAACAAATACTGCATCCAATACTGCGACCGGCGTGACAACTTCTTCACAAACAACACGCACAGCATCGATGCCTACTGCGGACGCTCAGAATCAAACGAGTCAAACTGGTAAATACGCAAAAATAAAGGTAGATTTTTTCTATAAAAAGATATACGTCTTTATAAATTAAAAAAAATATTTTTTAGCAACGACTTCAAGTACGACTAGTAGTAGTGAAACATCTACGAACACAACATCGGGAACAAATGCAGAAACGACTACTAATAATCCCTTCATGAATTTAGTGCAACAAATATTAAGTCAGTTAGCGAGTGGTCAATCGCAACCTAACATCATCATGAATAGAAACAGTAATTGAATCTGAAATAGTAGCAAATTAAAATATTTATTGACTCGGTATTAACACCGGTTATGTTTGTTACAGCGCCAAACTTGATGGAAAGTCTTGGTACTATAATGCAAGTGCTTGGTAATAATATTCAAGTAGGATTCATGAGCGACAGGTATGTTAAAATTATAATTAAAGGATTTAAAAAATAATCGTCAATTGTGAATATGTAATATTAATCTCGTTATTGATGATCAGCTCGATCGGAAGTGCCCCTACACTAGCAAATCTGTTTGAGAGTGGAGGTTTATCTAGGGATCTTTTTACGTCACATGAATCCGGTAGAGAAGAGAATTTCCTCGTCGATCTCTTCGTATTATTAGTAATTTCGTTATATCTATTATATGACTAACATAAAAATCCATCGTCAATGATACTAAAAGAAATTCATACTATGCAGGCACAAAGTATGAGTCTGGACGGATTGATCAGAGTACGTCTCGGTCAGTGGGGACCTATTGCTCGTCTTCGAAGACCTTTGCAGGAATTTCTGCAATATACATTCTCGAACGCTTCGTCGCCAAGTGACCTTCAGGAACAAGCCACTGAGCGTCTACTTTCTCAATTACGACCTCATATTCGAAATCTTTTGGCATCCGAGGAAGATACTAACGGCAGAAGTGGATCCCGCGTTGATGTCTGCGCGACTATTGAATCTTTGATTGCTCGTCACGCAAGAGATATACTTAGAATCTTATTCGATAATGGTTAGTATTTAATTTTATATGTATGTTTTAAATGTATATTATGTATATTTTAAAATCAACAAACTAGATACATATGTCGGATTTACAGAAGTCGACGATCCGAGATTTGGACAGGATATATTGAGTATTCTAATTAATATGTGCAGCCAAATTTGTACGGTACTTCGGTATTCGCTACGTGGCGGTCAAGCTGGATTAGAGGCGATTGCAACACGTTTCATGGTTAGTCTTAACTTTTTCAAATTTTATGTAAAACATGAAAAGGGAGAATTCATGTACATCGTACTAATATGATTTGGTTACTCCTTAGCGTGACTTGATGGATGGTGGCAATCCTGCTCTTCTCCAGTGGGTATTGAATGGATTCATCACTCATCTTCGTACTTACTTCTTGTGCGTACCGCAACCTCCGGATTCGGAAATTATACCACTTTTGGTGTACAGGGATGCATCGTCTCAGCCATCATCGGTATCTACAACCTCAGTTCGTCAATCCGTACAAGCACAATCGGAAGACGAAGTAATTAATTTATATCTCTTTATTTTACTATTATAATAATTGCATCAATATAACATTATTCTAAAAACGCGTTTAGCCGATGGAAACTGAAACTCTGGAACAGCAACAGCAGCAACAACCAGCACGCGAAAGCTCGATATCAGAGGATCGAGAAGAAGTCCCAGAAACATTCCCTGGCCATGAAACCTTACCTTCGGTATGTCAATGCAAATACAAAAAGAATTTTTATTATATTTAATTCATAGTAATCTAAATTATTAAATTAAAAAATGTGTTCTGTAAAAAACACTTAAAGATAATTCAATGTCACATTATCGTTTAGCAATGTACTTCAATAGATTGAATACTTTTCTAGGATTGGGTGCCAATTATCGCTCGCGACGGTGTGAGACAACGTAGACAGTTACAGATGCAAGGTGTAGCACCGAACAATGGTGTGACGACATTCAGTGACGCTTATCTAGGCGGTCTGCCGAGCAAGCGTCGTAAGCTGATTGAACAGCAAAAACCGCGATTACTAGTTAGTCCTACGCCGAATCATCATTCGACGATAGCGGCGTCCATGGAACGGTTAGTCAGAGAGGGGGTTGGTCGTGCCGGCGTCGAGGAAGTCGAGGGTGCTGCGGTAGCCGTCGCGGCAGATCCCGCTGTGCGACGTGCGTTTGGTCAAGCGATTCGGGACAGCTTAAATCCTTGCCGATATGGCACGCCGGACTTCCCGGATCCGTTGCGCTTCCCGAATGCCACTAAATATTTCGCGGATCAGGAACGCCCGCCGAAGCAATAGTCAGCGGCAGGGTACAACGTCGAACTTTGACTTGTGTTGTTGGAATAAAAAAAAAAAAAAAATATTCATTAGATTAAACCGATGAGCGATGGAAAATGGCTCGTCGTCCCGAGAAAATCGAGACGCAAAGATGATACAATTTTACATGAAGAATTCCATAAAAAGAAAAAGAAAATATATTTCTAACTGATCAGCATCGGTGTGGATACCTACATATTATCCATACGCCCATATCAATATCTGCTTCGATAGAATCATTGTTAGTACTCTTCGGGTTAAATTCATAATTAAGTGACACTTGCGATCTCCCTTAAATCGGACTGTCCATCGAGTGTGTCAATTTTTAAAGAAATTGGCATTAGTTTCCTCTAGAGGGATATGGCCACTCTGTATATATATATAAATGTAAAAATTGTTAATTGTGCACCCGTCTATTTATGATTTTTACACTTGTGCGCCCGCTAGTTCCGAATTTTCTTCGCTTGTGTAAAACATTTTTTTTTCTTGAATTCCCATTATCTTAAGTTAATCGTTCCAAATTCCGATATCACCCTGACTTTAGAATGATTTTCGATGTCGTTTTACATTTTGTTAAAAACGACGTTATAAATTCCGACAAAAACTTTGTTAGGGATTCATTTCATTCTTGCAGATAATTTTTTCGAGATCGGGATCGCTCTAAGATATTTCTGGAGGACGGTATCTTTTTACGACGCATATTTTCCACACAGATCACGTAAGAATAACAGGCAAATTGACACGTACAATACGTGATTATGATAAAATAACTATATATGTTTAATCGCGCATTCTAATAACCAAACAATTGTACGGAGAAGAAAAGAAAAATAATAAAGTTGTGTATCCCTTTTCCTTTTTGTCTTTCCATATCGCTTTCTCTCTCTCTCTCTCTTTCTTTCTTCTCTAATTCTTAGAAATCAAATCACTGGCAGCTTATCTCGCTTACCTCGCTCAAGTAATTAATTTATAAGAGCAGCGGGAATTGTAAAATTCTCATAACGATAGACAAAGGTGAGCATGATTTAACATCCGGGATTAACGTGGAATGATTTTTTGGTAGCTAAACAGCATGAAATAAGTGACAAATAATCACAGAATAATTAGACCGTAATACTAGAATATTAATGTAAATTACAAAATGAATTACTAATGAATGAGCTACGTTATTTCATTACTATTAATTTTATTTATTTTTTTCTCTATTTTCTCGTCAATTTATCGAATGATCGAAATCAATTATGGCGATAGAGCGTATCGTCGTGTACCATGTGGTACCATCATGGCACATCGTAACATCTGTAATATATAAGAGCGCCGTCAATTATACGCGCGACTGATTATCGCGCCCGCCGAGAAATCGGATCATTTCGCGTTTGGTCCACCTCCGCGAATTCGATATCGTTGATTAAATTTTCATAATCGTACGAAGCGTGAATGCTATTATCGAGATCGTAATCGTGGCCCGTGACGAATCAGAAAGGGAGCAACTCGAAATTTTTCGAGCTCCTTCGTTACCCATGCCCTCGTCATTGTCATTGTCACTTCGGAGCAGCATTAGCCGAATTTCGATTCGCAAGCACGAACGAGCTATCCAGGGATCCGATTTGAAGTACCTCCGACTACCGAGGACAAATTTCAGCCGATACGCGATAATCCTATTTGCGCAAATGCGCACACGCGCAGTCTGAAAAAAATCTGGATTACGAAAATTCCCGACTGATAATCGGGATTGTTTACTAAGCGACGATGAAAACAATGTAATTTAATTTCCGCAAGAAACAGCTCGTTATCGCGTGTTATGTCACTCGACAGTCTTAGATCTCGGCGAGATTAAATCCTTCCAAGACAGTCCAATCGATCGTGCACACATGTGTTTAAGGTAACGCGATTCTTTAATCACCGGCGATATTACACCGGCGATCGAGCGATATCATCGGCGAAGCCGAAGCGCGACCGCGTTCTTTGCCGTCGGGAAGATCGCGCAATACTCCTGCCGCAAATTACGAATTACAATGTAATGCGTCATGTAATATCTCTCTCTTCTCATGCGAAAAGAGGCGATCGTTACAGGCTCGACCAAATGTCTCTCGTCCGACTCGTCGCTAGCGGCTAACCGAGTACGGAATGATCGTCGAACTAGAATTTTGAGAAACGATCCGGTTTTCCGGATAGGCCTCGGGAGAGGCGTCAGTATTAATTGATTGCCGACGAGGAACAAGACAAGACGATGTTCGATCGTTTTCTTCGGATGACGACGACGTTCCCGCCACGGCTCCCTTTCCGCGCTCTCAGAGAGTAGAAGAGACCAACGGGGCTATATAGCTCCTCTCTCCCTCCCCTCACCTCCTAACCCCTCGTCATTCGCCGCCGGGGTATATCCTCGACCGCGTATACCGCGCTTACACCACGTACCGCGGCGTATACCACGTCCACACGTACGTACACGCGCATACACGTCGCGCGGCTTGCGAGGGGAAGAGCCCGTAGAAAGGCATAATAAAGGCAGGTATAGAGAGTATACGATGTCCGCGTGGACTCGACGACCGGCTGTCTCGGCCGCCGGCTCGCCGTGGGCCGCGCGCGATTGGCCGACGGGCCGCCGTTCTTTCGGTCGGATTGGCCTTTTTCATCGCACGACGACGCCTCTTTATTCGGCTCGGGGCGTCGCCACGCATTTTTATGCGCGCAGGTTGGCCGCGTCGCACCAAGCGCGATTCTTATAGGTCGCGTCTCATTCGTCTCGAGGCTTAGTCGAGCAGTCCGCGCGGACTCTGTCGGTTCTGCTGGTACTCTGCTGTTGCTGTTGCTGCCGTCGCTGCTGCTGCTGCTGCTGCTGCCGCTGCCGCCGCTTGCCGCTGCTGCATGCTGCTGTTGCCGGTGCTGCCGCCGCTACGAGACCGAGGTTAAGACGCCTTGGCAATCAAGTAGAACCTCGGGCAAGCAAGGCCGGTTACGGCGCGCGCGGCGTCGCGTCGGTACACGGCGGGAAAGAGAACGCGAGAAAGAGAGACAGAGAGCGAACACGAAGGCGGCCATATTTAGAAAAGGAAATCAGCGAAGAGCATTTCGCGCCGCGTACTACTCCTCCTTCTCCTCTTTCTTCTCTTCCTCTCAGGGACCCTCCATTCCACGACGACGACGACAACGACGACCACCATCACCACCACTACCACCACCACCTTATCGTTTCGCTCTCGTTCCCCAGCTCCGGTTCGATCTCACTACATCGGGGGCTCTTTCCGCAGCCCGTCGTTCCAATGGATTTGACGGATGAAAAGTAACAGGCCGTGTCTCTCTTGCGCATAGCGATACTTCTCCACCGAGGCGAATATTAACAGGAAGGAAGGGATGAAGGGGTGGAAAAGGCGCGAAATAAGTCACGTACCTTTTTTTCGCGTGTAACCGCGTCCCGGCGCTAATAACCAGTCGTCCCTCTCTGTCTACGTTCCTCTTCCTTTCGATCCTTCCTTCGCCCTCTCCTCCTCCCCTCACCCCGCGCGAAACGCGAGAAAATGCTTGCGGAACCTTTTTCTCGCCCGCGTGAGAATGTCGATGCTGTACCGCGCGCGTAATCATCGCGCGGAGAGACGAAGCCGGAGTTTTCCGAGGGCTTTTTTTGCAGTTGTGGAGTCGTGCCTGTCATCGTCGAGTCGACGAAGCAAGGGAGATGAAGGGGAGGGAGAAAGCTCGAGAGTTTTTTCCGTATCGCGCCTATGCGGCACGTAACGCGATTTTTTTCTCTCTCTCTCTCCCCTCTCTCTCTCTCTTCTCTCTCTCTCTCTCTCTCTCTCTCTCTCTCTTCTTTCCCTTTCTCTCTTCGCCTTTCTTCCTACATTTTTCACATGTGCGTAGGCACGAGCTTCCATCGTTTTCATATCGCTTTCATATTCCGGATCGCGGCTCTTCCCGTTTTCCCTCTCCCGAGTCGCGAACATCGCGACGTTCGGTCCGAATATATTTCCTCTCGCCGTGGAAAAAAATCGACTCAGAACTACCTGAAAAACGGGAATTCGAGGGGCGTGCGCTTACAGCGGGAGGTAATCGCGCGTGCGTTTAGAAATAATAGATTCGGATTTCGAGCGTGACGAGAAAATGAGGCCCTTCTCTTCCCCTCCTCCCTTCTCTTTCCCCGCGCGATCGATTGGCGAAAGCTATTCGTGCGATCCTGAAGGAAGGAATGAAAAATTCTGGGAACCGGAGGTATTTACAAAGAGCAACCTCCTAATCGGAATTCGTCGTCGTTGTCATCGTCATCGCCAGAAATCCCCCGGTCGTTCGCACGCATGCACGCACGCATGTACATCGTCCTGTATCGGCCGCGCGCCGATTTACGGCCAGGTCCCAATTGGCAGCCGTTGCAGCCACTCGGCAGGAATAATGCCAATTAACACGTTTTTCGACGAGTCAACCGTTCGTCGCGTTCGAATGCGAATGAACGGCCGCGTATCCGGTTCGCCGGCCCGAGTCTTTCGGCCCGAAATATTTTTCAGAACGAATCGGAAGAAGAGAAAGATAGAGAAAGAGAGAGAGAGAATCGACATACGAGCGTTTCAATATTTTTATTACTGTCGCACAATAAAATACGCGTGACTTTATTTAGATCTGCTGTTGGACAAATGGTCTGAGAGAAAGATTAAATTCTTCTCGTAATTCAACGTCGAAGGAACCCTTTCTTTTTTGTTATCGTACGAAACGGCGACCGACGGGGCTCGGGAACTCGGGATGATTTTTGCGAAAGCGCCGGGAGCTAATACCCATCCTCTCGTCCAACAGCCTCGATGCAATATCGGTAATTGGTGTACGAAAGCCCGAAAGTGAAGAGTGATCGATAAAAAAAAAGAAGGATCGATAAGTTCAATAAACGGAACGCTCTCTTATCCTCACAGAAATAATCCCACTAAGTAAAGATCGGACGCGTTTGGAGCACGTATCAAGAACGCTGTCATTGGATCGAGATCCGGTTATAAAAAATATTATGTTTTATATAAACGCGAGATAATTAACGATAAAGCTCGACTCTCCTTTTTTTTCTCTTCACACGAACGATCTGGATGCGTTATTTCCAAGAGTAAGCGAACATTATCGCGCTACTTGTTAGTTGCACGAATGCGGACCTTGTTATCTCTCAAGTCGTAACATTCTTACTCCGCTCGTCCGTCCGTCCGTCCGTTCCAGCGGGATGTCGATAAGGCGAGATAATGAGACAGCGGCGTTTTCTGTCGAGTGCATCGTTTTGACAACGCAACCTGATAATAGTTCCAAATATATACACTTGTCTCGAGTGATAATGGTATCCCAAATATATACAAATATATATACAATGATAACAAGGAGGAGAGAGAGAGAGGGAGAGAGAGAGACCATTTGTTGAAATGCTTTTGAAGGACGATTAGCTTCGACGTAATTCGCCAATGCATGGGATGCTATTTATTTTTTTTCTTTTTGTACACCCAGAGAAAAGTTTCTTTAATTTAAAAAAAATTTGTTCGAATTAAGAAAGAAATATGTGCTTCTGAAGAAGAAGAAGAAATAAATTTTTATTTTTCTTAAAAGTACTTTTATTTTAACTTAAAAAAATCTAATTAAAAAAACGATTTTTCAATTTAAATACAATTTTTTCTGAGTGTATATTATGTATTATTGTGGGACATAATATACACATAACATCGCTCCTTCAGTCATGCTTTTTCTCGTTGCAGACTACAGAAAGCTCCCTCAGAAGATCCACTTGAGGTGATTCATCTTTGTTCATTCAACTCAGAAACATTACATTACAATTTTAAGGCAAGTGACGCCTTTCCAATTCAGCTTTCCTGAATCTTAGAAATATCTATTTCTATTTAGAGGACAATTTAGAGTTTCGACTATTCTCATTTTTTATTCGAAAGTGACCATTGCTATGTCTCTTGTTAAACGGGTATTATTTTTTCTTCCGACCATCAGGGTTCCAACATTTTCACTCAGCAGGTGGCTAAAGCATAACACATGCTATTATAATGTTCTTCTTTTCAATATATTGCTTATTAAAATAAAATATATGCTTGAACTCTTGTAAAAAGTGAGGAAGAAGATTTTAGTCCAGTCCAATACAGCGATAAAGAACAGGTCTACAAAGCACTGTTCCTTTCAAAACACAGCTTTATTATTATTCGACTTTTCTCTTTTCCATTATTTCCTAGATTATTCAAAAGATTCCTCCTCGAGCTATTCAATTAGAAATCCCTAGCGTCTTATTTAAGCGTCGATAAATTATCATTTGGATTTTTATATCTTCATTCCCAAAGCATGTTTCCTTTTTGGACCCATTTCGTTAGTAATCAATAGAAATTTGGTGGTAGATACCACTATCCTAAGGAATCTTTTCCACTTTCGACTTTCTCCCCCCCCCCCGGGGGGATGTTTCACTTACGAGACATTCCGTTTCGAGTTCGACCGAGGAAAATTCGACATTTCTCCGAAACGGAAATATTTTCTTTCGAAAGGAGGAATGGAGCACGTGGAGAGCGTATCGGGCGACACCTAGCGCCCGAAAGGTGGCGGGTCGAACGTTTCTTGGCGGCGGGCGACGTCAACGGTGGCGTCGGCGGTCCGTTCAGTTAACACACGCGCGCCGCCGGATGCGCATCTGCGTCTCATCTCGTTGTCACACCTCGTCCGTCGGCTCACTGTGCATTCCCGCGTCGTACACGTCGTACTCATGCGCGACTCGCGGACACCCCACGTGCATAACTATCTGCAGTTTCGTACGGATGCCCCGCGCCGCTAACGCGGGACGTGAGTGCGCCAGGGTGAATTGACCGCTCCGCTCGCGCGTCCGTCCGCCCGTCTTCACGGCTGTGATGTGCGACGGCGAGAGTGCCGCTTTTCACGAGGCGCGGTAGTGACGCGTGTGTATATGTTTGTGTGTATGTTGTGTGTTTATGCGCGCGCGCGCGCAACGTAAAGAGAAAAAGAGAGAAAGAGAAGTTCCGAGGATTACTTAACCATGTACCCCAGCGCCGGGATGAACGCGGCGGCGGCGGCGGTGGCCGTGGCGGCCGCGGCCCGACATCCGGTACGTACGAAACATTTTCACCATTTTTGTCTCCTCCGGGACGAGACGTCTCGGGCGCGACGCGGGAAAACACCGGGACGGCCTCTCCCCCGAAAGCGAGGCCTCCCCGAGACGAGTCTTGGCGCGCTCGACTTCTCGTACGCGTTTCCAACGCTCTTAATTCGTCACTTGCGAAATTAGGAGCGAGTCACTCTTTGGAGATTATCGACGTTCTTTGTACGTTCCTTGGATATTTTCGTGTCAATTGGATGTTTCGTATGAGCGCGTCCTGAAATGATTTTTCAGAACCGTAAGGAATTTTCGTTAAGTGCCCTTCGAAAAAGATGATGGACGCTCTCCAATATTTCTCCCTTTATTTAGATAGGATTTTAATCTGAGATTTGTTTACAAGAGATACTCGAAAATCATCGAAAGCTGCGATGAGCGATGACGAACTTGATAGAAAATCAACTCGAAATTGACTTTGAAGGAAGCGCGATTATCGAAGGACAGACTATACCGATAAGATAAAAGTCTTGTGTCTCGCGTAATTTACGTTATCTATGTGCTAAACGGAGAGTAAAGTCCATACGCGAACGCTATAAAGATTATGCGCGCAAGAAACGACGGAAGAAGCGAAACGGATCAAACCACCCCAGTAGTCAAAACGTTCCCAAAAATTCCATCTCATTTCGTCTCGTTTTTTTCTCGTTGATCGTTTTTCCTTTTTTCTACCTGCTCGTAGTCCCGTTAGGCTACGCCATGAATGTTCGAGCGTTTCTTTGGGGAATCACGGGGTCCCCCTTCGTAATCCTCTCTGGACGTCTCATCTATTCCATTATGCTCGTAGCGTGAATTCTTTGAATCTTTTCAAGATCGAGTAATACGATTACATTGCGACACGAAGGTCGCCGTTGATTATTATTGTTGCTTTTACCATTTTGCTTCTCACTTCATGCGTAACATATACACTGTCATACATGAAATCCCGAACACTTTGAAACTAAAAAGAAAATTGTAAGCTTTCCAAGCGGCACATCAATCAACGACAGATATTTTTGTCTTGTTTTACAGTTAGGTAAAACCAAATTACTGTTATAGTTGTCAAAATAAAGAAAATTAGGAATGTACGTTTCATTTTAAGGAGTGTCCGGGAATTTATGAATGATAATGTATATATACAAGGTGTCCCATAATTAATGAAATATTTTCCGTGAGCCGGTAGAGCAGGTTATACCGAATAGAAAAGTCTTCTATCATTTTGCGATTTTCTCCCTATCTCTCCGTCTCTGTCTCGCGATAATTAATGAGATATTAATTTCTAAAGATCCGCGAATGAGCATATATACCCGCATGAAGAACTGCGTGTGTGTCGCACTCTTGCATTCGCTCTTTCGTGTCTCTTTTTTATGCTTTTAGTGTATTTATTCTATAGACGTACTTTTCCTCATCCTTCCTGGACTTGCGGGAAGCTCAATTATAGAGATAGATTAATCTATTTGTATCTATCCGCTACGATCAGTCGCGAAGAAAATTACGTTTTTTTTTCTTCCTTTTCCTTTTATTTCCTTTATCGCATCTGACGTGTCTATGAACTGCGATTATTTCGAGTTAATCGACCGATATCTATCCTCCAAGTGGTTATTACCAGATACACATCGCTCATACCTACGAATCGCATTATTTCTCCTCCACTGTCAACGTCACTCTCGCGAACTAACGAGATAATTAAAAAGTAGCGGCGGCGAGCCAACGTTTTCCACACACAGTCTGGCGCGCCGAGCTCAGACCAATAAATTCTTTCCGGCAATTATTTATTTTTCTATCGATTTCCCTCACCCTCCCTCGAGCGATGCCTGATAGCTCCGCGCCCTCGTTGTCACGCACGCACGCACGCACGCACGCACGCACGCACGCACGCACACGCACGCACGCACGCACACACACA